TTCTCCCCAGCCGGCCGGGAATTGAACCCGCGCTGCAGAGGCTGCGGACAGCTTCACAGCGCCGTGTTCAACCCGCTGCGCCACCGGGGATGCCCCCTAAGCCTCTTTCTACAGGACCTTCTTCTCAAGGAGGTTCAAGTTACCAGGCTTCAGCTCAGTGGCAGACCCACACCCACAGACTATCATGTCCATCCTCTGTCCTGCCCACTTACCCTGACGAGGTAGTCCTTAACCCTTGTGTGGCATCAGCCTCTTCCCTGCTCTCTCCACCCCCAGATCTTTTAAGGAATTGGTTAATGGTTCTTTATTTCATATTTCTTATCACAGATGTTCTATGTCTGCCATCTCTTCATACCCAGGTCCTGGCAGATCACTGAGTGAAGAAAAGGGGCCCGCCCCACTGGGAGCTGGTGCCCCACACAGACTCTCAGTAACATGAAATCACAGAACCTTTGAGGCGACCCCCATCCCTAAGTCCTTATTTTACCAAGAAGCTGGGGACTGGAGGGCCCATGGGCCTTGTCTGGAATCACAGCAGTTGAAGGTCAGGCCGGAATTGAGACCAAGGATTCCTGAACCCCAGTCTTCCCTCCTGTAACTGCCATCTCCTGTAACACTGATACTTAATGGACTTTTGTTTCTGGCATGAGAGCAGACTAGACCTCGGAACTACTTCCTGCCGAGACATTAAAAATGCTAGTTGAAAGTTTTCAGTCTTTTAAAGGCACCAACCAAGCTGGAAAAAAATGGTTAAGAATAGTCATAGACTCAAGAAGGGCAAGCAGGAGCCAGAGGGTGCGGAAGCTGGCCTTCTCACTAAGGAAATCTGTCAAAGCCAAGTGATCTTGAACTCCGGTGTTCAAGGCCTCCTGCAGCCCATGAAAGGAGACAAGCCCTCACCCTGTCAAGGTGGAAAATGCAATAGAGAACCCCATGTAAAGCAGGCCACATCCCCACTATGAGAGTGGGCTACAAATAAACTCACCTCCCCACAGCAGAGCAAAGTAAATTGCCCATGTTGAAACATTGCCAGTGGATGGAAAGAAAAAAACTTTTACCCTGAGAATTCTCCAACAACCAGCCAACTCTTATGTTTAAATTCATAAAGAGCAGGCAAAAAACCTCAGGCCAGTTGAGCACGGTTTTAAAGGGGCAAGAGAGTTAATCGTAAGATTTTCTGGGGGCAGAACATTCCAGGCAGGCAGAGGCAATGGTCACTCAAAGGCCTGAAGGCAGGGTCATGCCTGCCTTGTTCAGGAGCACAAGAGGGCCTAAGGGGCTGAAGTGGAGAGAGCCAGGGAGAAAGAGAAGGAAATGAAGCCAGGTAGGATGCCAGGTAGGACAAGGCCTGCTATGCCACTGTAAGATCTTGGACACTTCCAAGAAATGCAGAGCCCTAGGAGGAGTCTGAGCAGTGGAGTTAGTTGATCTAACTTACATGTTAAAAAGCTCACCCTCATGATGGGTGCACCAGCCGTGAATGCAGCAATGACGCTGTCCTGTACATGTTCCCAATGGTAAGGTCTATGTTACAGCTATCTTACTACAGTAACAAAACAGCCCCCTGACTGCTATGCTAAGGATATATGGAAGTAATCCAGGGATGGGCTACAGCGAGGATGGGAGCAGGGCAAGAGATGAGGTCATATTTTGGATGTGTTGGCAGGAAAGCCAGTAGATTCCTGGCATTGTATATAAAGTATGAAGAAAAGGAAAGACATGATGACTCCAAGGTCATCATGGAAGGAATAAAAATGTCATCGATAAAGATGGGGAACAGGTTTGGAGAACATAAGACTAATGTTAAATTTTGGACTTACCGGGCTTGGGAAGTCATGCACTCCTAGGGGAGTAAAAATTAGAATAACTTTAGACCATCCTTTGGAAGTATATACTAAAGGCAAACATGTGCATCATCTATGGTCCAGCAATTCCATTCTGAGGTATGTGCCTTATAGCAATCTGCACTCATAGTCACCAAAAGACACGAATGAGCAGTGATGACCCTTCTAATGACGCAAAACTGGACATAACCCTTCCAAGAGATGGGATAAATGTTCACATAGTCACATAATGACAAATTATCTGGCGATGTGAACGAGCAGGCTCCTACTCGGCTATAATGAAGATGGATCTTAAATTAGAGAATATAATCTTCATAGGGGAAAGGTCATGTGTAGGGGCCACTTAAAGTTTAGAAACATAATACTGGCATTCAAACAAAAGCTTGTACATGAAGGCTCACAGTGGCAGTTTATGATAACCAAAGAGTGATAGAATAGCTGCAGTGGGAGAGGAGAGACTAATGCGGGAGTGTGTATGGGACTGGGAGGGGAGGGTCATCAGCTGATGAATGGACAAACGAGACATGGTATAGCCACACCATGGAATATTATTCAGCCTTAAAAAGGAGTGACATCCTGATACCTGCCACAATGGATGAACCTTGAAAACATTATGTTAAACGCAAGATGCCAGACACATTTATATGAAATATCCAGAATAAGGAAGTCCATAGAGGCAAAAAGCCAATTAGTGGTTGCCAGGGGCTAAGGCAAATGGGGAATATGCTAATGGGTTTGGGGTTTCCTTTGAAATGATGAAATGTTCTGGAGCTAGGTAACGGTGACAGTTGCCCAATATTGTGGATATGTTAAATGTCATTGACATGTATGTTTTAAATGGTTAAAATGGTTTAAAAAAATTCTTATGTGTATTTTACAATAAAATTGAAAAGAGAAAACTAATCCATGATGATATAATCAGGAGTGGTGACCTGAGGGTGCAGAGAAGGTGAGTGATTGGAAGGACAGCAGAGCTTCTGGGGTGCTGGTAATATATTTCAAAAAAAAATAAAAATAAAAAACCCTGGATGGTAGGTAGTTATATGAGTGTTCATTCTGTAAAGATCCATTAAGTAAAAGAGACACATATAGACAATTCTTTCCAGAGTTTTGCTGCAAGAGTGGAGCTGCAGCTACAGAGGGGCATGGAATCAAGGAGGGTTGTTTTCAGATGGGAGAGAATATTGTTTCTTGTGCATACAAGAAAAATATCGTAAGGAAGGCACAGAGGATGTAGTGCTAAGTGGACCTTCAGTGGGAGAGAAGGAGAGATCTAATGCAGGAGTGTGTAGGGGCTGGAAGGAGAGTGTCTACCTATAGTAACAAGCAGGAAGCTGATCACTAGGGATGTGGGTGCCAGTGGGTGAGGTGAGCAGAGCAGTGGTTAGTCTGGTTTACTGCCCCCAATTTACCAGGGAGCCATCTGAGACCCTGGGAGAAAAGGGGATTGCTCACACCCACACAGGAGTAAGGAGTGACACGCAATCTCCTTGACTCCAGACACATGACCCACAGCTGCCCAAGTACTCTGAGTTCACCTGTGCATCGTACAAAGAAGCATCTTCCAGTCATTTGCCTTGACATAACTTCCTAGACCTTCAGGTAGCACCCTAGGTTTCTTGGGATTCTGGGATTTGATAAACAGCTCTGTTCCACCTTGCTGACATACCATACCACATAAAAGACTTTTATATGTAGTTACATTCCCTCCATAGCCCTCATCTTTCCAGACTGAAGAATTCTAGTTGCAGCACTTGCCCTGATGGTAAAAGCATTTCATCACTCCATTGTCTGGCCCCTTTCCAGTTCTATTACGTCTTTCTTGGAATGCAAAGCCCATAACAACAGAAACCACAGTGGCTTCCATTTTGATGAGCCTTTTACAAGGACAAGGGCCCCATTTATATATTCAAACCCATGGTCAGTGAGGTTGCAGCTTGCCCAAGGTCACACACAGCATCCACAACAGAGCCCAGCAGAAGAGAATTCCAGTTGCTGTGATCTCTCCCCCATGCCCAAATGCCTGGAGGCAGGACTCCAGATGGCATTCATCAATCGGGGTGCAAGCCATAAGGGAAAGTCATGTCTTTCCTCTCCCTCACCCTATCCTCATGGGCATCCTGTCCCAGTCCTGTTAGCTCTACCTTCTACAAATAGTTGCAACCTGTCCATCTCCGTCCATATTACCCTAGCTTCAGTCGCCATTCTTTTTCATTAGATTACAGCTCCCAGACCAACCTCCCTGCCTTCAGCCTCGGCCTCCTCCTACCATTCTCCACCGGAAGCTACAAAGCCCTCCTGAAAATGAAAATCTACCCATATCATGTTCCTGCTAATAACCAATCAAGCCACTTGGCATAGTCTTAAGGCCCCTTGTTTACTTGACATTATCTCTCACTGATTTCCCAAATGCACAGGTTCTCTCACACCTGGAGGACCTCTCACACTTGGCTCCCTCTGCCGGGAAAATCTCCACCACCACTTGCCTGGTCAAATCCTCAAGGACTCAGCTGTGAGGTGGTATCCTCTGAGGGGCCTTCCTGTCCTCCTGGCTTCTGGGTTCCCACAACCGGGTTGACATAATTCCCCTCTGGTCTATTTGAAGGCCTTCGCCTTCTTGGACGCTGAGCTCCCTGAGAGCAGGAGCAGGAGCCAGGCCCTTCTCTCCATCCTGAGTCAGTAGCATAGAGATGTTCCTCAGTAAATCACTGAATAAAGTCCAAACCTACACTGGATGCCCTTGATTTTTCTGGAACAACATTCACCCTAGACATTTGCTAAATCTAAATGTGCCCCAACTCAACAGGGCATGCATGCAAGCCCACAAGCTTGTGGCCAGATGAATTGGGTGACATCCTGTCTGCGTGACCTCTGGACAGTTATTTCACCTCCCCATGTCTCAGTTTCTCTTTCTGTAAAATGAGAATTATAAGACCTATTTCACAAGAAAACTCACAGAACATATCACCTGGCAGGGGAGCAAGATATGATACATTTAAGTTTCCTTAGCACATATGCACACTTTAGCAGCAAGCATCTACTGTGCTCTGGATGGGAGGGGGGAGGGGGGAGGGATAAGAATGAGGAGCCTTAGCCTACATTTCAAGTTAACATCTTCTGAGAAAACTCATCTATAAAATCAATTGAAAATCCAACCTGGGATTCATGGGTGAGTCTGCCAACCAGCAGGAAGTCCGCTGACAGGAAGGTAACCCTAGGTCAGCCTCAGCGTCTCCTCCAGGGCAGCTCTCCCGCGAGTCAGACCGAGACAGCAGCGTCGGTGGGTCTCTACTGCCACCTGCTGGAGGAGTAGAGTAAGGTCACAGGCAGCAGCCGGGAGAAATAGGCGCGGGCTCGAGCTGCCAAATACATGACTTTAACTTATATTTGCCACATTTGTCCCACAGTAAATGAGAAGCTGTCAAAGGAAATAGCTTTTGAAATCAAAACTCCTTACCAGAAAAAAAATAAGGAAAATCAACAACACCCCGCTAAGTTCAGAAAGCAGAAGAGTGCCTCCTGAGGAAATTTCTCTCTCTGACTCTAAGGGGAGCACCTGAGAACTCTGTAAGGCAGAGAGAAATACCTTCTTCAGAAAGAATGGCCTTCTGAAACATCATCAAGTGCAAATCCTGATGGAAAGCATCAAACCTTGGTGTCCCAAAACCCAGCTGCCCAGAAACACCTGCAGGATCCAGTTCGGTCCCGGAACCAGCTCAATAGAAACTGCGGGAAGCAGGGAGGCCATTTTTTCCAAAGGTCTTGGCTTTGCAGCCAGACTAAGTCAACAAAGCAGCAGCCAGCCTTTGCCTTCCTGTTACACCCTCCAGCTTCTCCTGCCTGGCCCGCCACGTTCACACACACACACACACACACACACACACTCCTCCAGATGCAGTGTGCGTGGTCCTTTGCATGCGCAATCTGCTCTGGGGGAACCAGGAGGCAGAATCCGGACAGGCTCCAGTCAGGGTTATTTTTTCTTTCTCCATGTTCCAACCACCATATGAAAAATCAGGTCCAAGAATGCAAACTCCAGAAAACCAAGCAGCAGGATATTGACTTAGTCAGTGAGTGTGCCTCTGCCTCCCCGGGCTCCCTGGAGGCAGTCTCAGGTCTCCTAAGCAGGGGAGGCTTTGCTGAGTGGACACTGCGGTCCCGACAGACACCCAGGCAGGGCCTGGGGAAGCACCAGCCACTACACCTTCTCAATGACTCAACTGTCCCCACTGTAAATGCAGCACCAAACTAACTGGAGTTTGGGGTAATAGGGTACAGTCCCCAGAATTTCCCAGAAGGAAGACAACAAATACACAACACATCAGAACTGCCAAAAATACAGGCAGGCAACTTACCTATATGTGAGTGGCACAAGTCTGTTGGTTCCAACAAAGTACAGAAGTTGCAAATTCATCCAGACAGAAAGCAAAAACAAAAACAATTTCAGTGTTTGCTTCAGCAACACATATACTAAAATTGGAATGATACAGAGAAGATTAGCATGGTCGCTGGGCAAGGATGACACGCAAATTCGTGAAGCCTTCTTTTCAAAATCAAGAAAACCAACTCTTTTGTAATTGAAACAAAAAAATCAAATACTTGGGAATAAACCTTACAAAAGAGGTGAAAGACCTATACGAAGAAAATTATAAAACACTGTTAAATAGGAGACACAAAGAAATGGAAAGACATAGATTGGAATAATTAACATTATTAAAATGTCCATCCTACCAAAAGCAATATACAGATTCAACGCTATTCCAATGAAAATCTCAATGACATTCTTCAAAGAAATAGAACAAATACTGATGAAATTCATATGGAACCACAAAAAAACACAAATAGCCAAAGCCCTACTGATGAAAACAAAGGAGAAAGGAGGTATCACACTTCCAAACTTCAAGCCATACTACAAAGCCATAATAATTAAAACACGATGGACTATTATTCAGTAATCAAAAAAGATAAACTCATGCCATTCGCAGCAATGTGGATGGAGCTAGAAGGAATTATGCTCCGTGAAATAAGCCAGAAGGAAAAAGAAAAATATCGGATGGTTTCACTTATAGCAGTATTATAGGGGAACCAAATTAAGACATCAGTGAAAAAAATAGTAACAGTGCAAAACACAACAAAGCAAAAACAGACAATTATAAATCAGAGACATCCTGCAGGGGAGGAGGAGGGAGAGGGATTAGAGGGAGGGAGGAAAGAGCACAGGGGACTGAGGTGAAGGTGCACGGGTGCACTGGTAAAGGAAACTCTATGGGGACTACACCTGAGGGGGTGGGGGGAAGCAAATATTGTTTAGAAATGAACAATGGGGCCTCCCTGGCGGCGCAGCAGGTTGAATGCAGCACTGTGAAGTTGAATGCAGCACTGTGAAGCCTCTGCAGCGCTGATTCGATTCCTGGCCGGCCAGGGAGAAACCGACATGGGGAGGCAGACTTCTCCTGTCTCCCCAGCTGCTGCCCTCAGCAATGCTTTCCGTCTGTCCTGCCTGGCTGGCCAGGATGGAACCGGCAACGCAGAAGCTGCAGACAGCTTCACAGCGCTGCGCTCAATGGCCTGCGCCACCAGGGAAGGTCCAATAAAAATAAATCTTAAAAAAAAACTTTTAAAAAATGAATAATGTTGTAAAAAATAAAAAAAATCATAAAAAATTTTAAAAAACAAAAAAGTTAAAAAATAAAAATGAACAATGATGAAAAAAACAAAAAATTTCATAAAAAAAGGAAAAAAAACAATTTCAGCACACTGGCTGAATTAACCCTTGTTATTTTAAAGACTTTCTCTCCACCCAGCAGGTGGTCAGCACCCCCAGTTCCCAGCAGTTCTCATGCAGGTTTCTATTAACTTTGCCTCTCTTGCATCTTGGGGGGTTCAAAAAGCAAAACTGGGCATCCCTCTGACCATCCTAATTTCCCACGCTTGTATCTGGGCCTTCTGGTGTTCTCCTCACTTCCTCGTGCAGTTCAGATCATTGCGTGGCCATTGCTTCAAAGGGTCGCCCTGTCATGTTAGGTCCTCTGTATGCTCGAGGCATGTTATTTTTTGCAAAATGGTCCTGACTGCCTAGAAGCACCAGCATCTACCACTGAAGACCTAACTTCCCAGGGACACCCTGGGAGGCAGGATTCATATTGTGTCTGCTCTCTCTGTCTCTTCTCACCATCTTTCCTCTCATAACACAGGACATTTTTGGGGTGAGGGAAGTGGGAGCAGATCTATGCAAAAATCTCTTCCTCTAAATTTTTAAAGACATATAGTCTGTTGGCTTAAAGCCCACCTGCCTCCTTGTCACCCCACGCCCCCCAAAAAAATCCCTTTTGTAACACAAAAGGTAGAAAATTTTCTTGGCTATTTTCCACCCTGTCTCAAGCCTCCACTAAGGCAATGAACAAAAGAACCCACTGCCTACTTGCCTGGAGAGTGAGAGAAACAGGGTCCTGTCTCAGATGTCATCCAGCCATACTTGATAAATACTTTTTTACCCACCTTCCCAACATCCAAGATTCTCGCAATGGTCAATTGTGATTTCCTTCCTGGTAATTGATAATGTTTGAAATGTCAGAATAAAAGTTTATTTTTGTTCTTTTTCAGCAGTAAGTCCCTTCCTACCCTTATTTCTCCAGCAGCCTCTGTTCATATCTATCCCCCTCCCTTCCCTCCATTCTTCTCCCATCGCTGCCACTTTCCAGCCCAGCTCACAGATTCAGAGAGCACCTAGCCAGCAGTCACCACTGACCCAATCAAGAGAAACGAAAGTGCCAAACACAGAAGCTCACTATCCCCTAAAACGTGTCGGCCTGCCATGCCCACGACCCCACCCGTGTTGTACTATGTGAGCACTTTCTATTGCTAATTCCCACATCCAAAAATACCTCATTAGGACCTCCCTGGTGGTGCGGCGGGTTGAGCGCAGCGCTGTGAAGCTGTCCGTAGCCTCTGCAGCGCTGGTTCGATTCCCAGGCAGCCAGGGAGATACCCACATGGCGCAGTAAACCACTCCTGCCTCACCTGCTGCTCCCCTCAGCAGTGTCTTTGGTTCATCTGCCTGTTCTTCTCCCTACTCTGTCTATGGTGAATCCTCTCATGCTCCCACACTTCTGGCCTGTACCCCAGTTCTTGTATAGATAAAAACAAATCTTTAAAAAAAAACCCTCATTAGCCTTCATCTTACTTGTCCTCACTCAAAGATCACCGCTCCCTCTTCCTTAACTCTGCTCATCTGGTTTTCCTCCTCCACTGCCAATCCTTCCATCAAGACTTTAGCTGCCAATACTACCCAAGAATCTGTCCTGTTCTGTCTCACTCTGCATGCTCCCTACTGAACAATGTCAGTCTCTCTCAGTGCTGTATCACCTACCAAACCCTCAAAGATACCCCAAATATTCCCTCTCCTGCCCTCCCTCCTCCTCCTTCTGATTTCAGACACACATATTGATTAGCCTGTTGATCAGCCTAGAAAACAAAAAGCCAGACACAGCACTAGATTGCTTATTTCCTACACGTGAAAGAATGTCAGGACTACAGAGGCAACTAGGAGCAAATGGATTGATTGCAACTCAATACAAGGGAAATTTTTCTAACAGATAGCACTAACCAGCAATGGATGTGAGATGTGAGATCCCTATGACTGGGAGGGAGCAGAAAGGATTCCTGTACCGAACACAAGGCCAAACTAAGCCCTGTCCATAGTCTCTCCCTCTGAAAGTGATACTCCTCAGCTCAGCATTCAGAAATAGGGATATAGATGGGGTTTTTTTCCACTTTGTTTAGTACCTAAAATTACAATTCTTCATTATATGACACTGATTAGATACCATCAAAGGGATTTCCTTTTTATTATTTTTTTAATAACCATGATGTATCAAATAATTGGTATTACAAACTCATTTGTCATACACTCAAGTTTTTAGAAAACAAAATTTACTTGGTCACTGGTTGAAGGCTTTCAGATGAAAGCCCAGTTGCCAAACTCATTATTGCTTATGGATATTTCTCTGTTCTATTCCTTTCGGCTGTTTTTAAAAGTGAACAGAAAAGGAATCCTACCTAAATCCTAATCTGATTTAACAGACTCTTTGAAGGTATTCTCCAAATACCCTACTCTTGCTTCGTCACTAGCCTGGGATGTTATCAGTCAAATCTAAACACTGCAAGGCAAATACTACTGAACCATTTCATAAGATACTGGAATTTGTACTGGTATTTGCTGAACCTATTTGTGCTATGCTCCAGGCTATAAAACAGGGGTGCTAAGGATATGACACATGATCCTGCCCTCCAAGAGCTCTCACTCTGCAGGCCGCCAAACCAGTGATTATAGCAGAGGGAGGCAAGGATTGTGATGTCTGCTAGCTAGAACAGGCAAGGCAAAGCAGCAGAGGCAACTGTTTTAGAATAACTTGTCTTTAAATACCAAAACACCAAAGCTGTATTAAAAATCACAAAAATATGAAAGCAAATTGTCTACACCTCCATCATCAGTAGTTTCCATTTGTCCATATGAATCTATTACTTGCACATGCAGTTTTTTCCTAATTGTAATATATATTATCAATATATATTATTGGTATTTTCCCATTTCACAGATTTTTTCTTCTCCTACCTCACCTCCTCAAGATAACTGACAGTCACAACCTGGGGAGTTGTTCTTCTACCTCCCATGGGGCACCATAGCAATATTTATTGTTTTTATTTCATTTTATAATTTTTTACACCAATTTTCATTTTTGTACAATATATGCATTTTCATCTCAGTTATAGCCCCCGTGAAATTCCCACTACCCGTTCACCTGTGACATGGTTCCTTGTGCTCTTCCCACCTGTTTTGATCCTACTTCCTTCTCCCCACCTGCAGAATGTCTATTATTATAATGACTAGGCCCCACTTTTCTTGTTCTCCTGATATACCCAATTTTCAGCTTTGAAAACCATTCTAATGTCTTTATTTTTAACTTCAAGAGTTGAATGTAATGACTCTGGCTAGGAGAAGTGTCGTGGACAACACGTCCGGAGAGGACCACCTTAGCCGTGAGGCCCGTCACAGAAGGCCACTGCTTTCCCTCAAAAGGGTCTGCCTTCTTCACACTCTGCTGGGACTCTGAAAAAGGTTTCATTTAACTGCTGTGGAGTTGACTCAAATTTTGGATTTGAAATTTTTTCTGGGTTCAGCTTCAACAAGGAGGCGGAGTGGTGTGAAAGGATTCCTTGGCCTTCCAAAGTGGGAAAAGGTGGCGCATCGCAGCTTTGCCCCCAGGCTCTCACATGCCAAGGGCAACCAAGGCAAACAGACTTCAGAGTTATGTGTGGGTTAGAGGCCAGTTCTGCTGCTTCCTGACTGGTTGATCTTGGAGAGGTTGAAACATTTTGAGTCTTATTTTCCCCATTTAAAGTCCACCTCAAACGAGGTAAATAAAAAAAAGTGACTTCATAAAATTAAACAGAAAATAATTTTAAAACATTTTTGCCAATTGGGGGTTATACAATTGCTGGTTTAATTAATTTGCCATTTAGCTTTCCTGCCTGCAAAAAGTCCTCATTAACTAAATAAATGTTCGGTTTGCCACCAACAGTAATAGCAATCAGCCACAAAGACACCAATGTCTTCAGGATTCCAGTCCCTGCCAATAACTGCAGATATATAAAAGCAAAGCCATATAATTTTAAAATGTTATACATAGAATTATATATTATATAACATACTTTGCTTCTATCTGGCAGCATCAACAATATATGGTATATATACAGTATATATAAGATGTACATTCCATTTTTATAATTATAAACTTTATTTTCTTTTACAGAGTACTTTTTAAGTCTTCAAGTACCTGATCCTTAAAATGCAAGTCAGGCATTTTAAATGAAGGAGTAAGGCTTTGCTCAGAAGTATCTAATTAAGGGGGGGAGGGAAGGTAGACAAAAAAAGCTGGTTTTTTCCACCTTTATTTATAAAGAACACAACTTCTCCTGACACAGACACAGACTCACACACTTCAGGAGGAGCTCATTAAAAACAACAACAACAGAAAGGGGGACAGTGGTGCCTTATTTAACACAGAGTGTGTACCCAACTCTGGGATCACTGGGAATGTTTCCTCAGATATGACTTCGCACCACAAAGAAAGGAAAAGACCTTGGACCAGAGGGCGCACCTACCCACCAACCAGGCAAAAGGCTGTACACTCAGTCTTCCGCATCATCAAACTGTCCTGTTTCAAAGACCATCTTGGAATAATGGGGTATCAGTGGAGGTGGATGGTGCCAACTGGGGTCATAGATCATGTCTCCTTGTGGGGCACAGCATACCCAAGGTTTGACCTCTTGAGAAATGCAGCCCTGGATGTCCTCGGCATCTGCAGGCAGTTGTAAAGGACAGATTAAGGAAGGAGGGAAGGTGAAAATGGAGCACCAGAAATGTCTAGGGGACAGACATTGCACTTTGTTTAAACACATGCTCAGACACACACAGAGACACATACACACACACACACACACACACACACACACACACACAGAGTCTTCCTTTCCTGAAGAACCACAAGCATGTCCATTTAAAGCACAACCTGAAGCTGTGCTTCTTAGAGGAGCGAGCATTCTTAGCAGTGCAGAGGAAGCAGCTGGATAGCAAGGCCCTCTGTCTGCACCTGCTCTAGTCACACAAAGATACTTGGAGAGAGTAACATTGTCCCAGTGTTAAAACTAACTGATACCTTAAGGAGTCAAATGCAGAATTTGCAAGTTATTTATTTTGTTTTGTGGTTTTTTTTAAGATTTATTTTTATTTATACAAGAACTGTGTATAGGCCACAGGCTAGGGAGGGTGAGGATTCACCAGAGACACAGCTGTCCTGCAAATTTTCGTGCTGTCACAGACATCAGGCTGGGCTCACAGACATGCATCCCTCTTCCAAACTATCTGCCTCTAGAGGTAATCTGGCTGGAGGGTCTCAGAATGCTGGCCTAGGACCCCAGAAAGCCCACACCTACCATAAGGATTCCCTTGATCTGCTTTCAACTCCAGGTCCCAGTCCTCAGTAAAAAGGTCAGCGGCCTGTTCCTTGGGCGGGCGGCTGGAGACCCCTTCTGACAGCTCCCATGTACTGGGCTCCCCATCAGAATCCTCATCATCCACAGCAAAGCCTTCCTCTTCTGAATGGGCGTCCTCAGCACCCGCAGGACTATCATTAGAGACGCTTTGTGCTCTGCTGGCTAAGAAAGTGACCAAAGGGAGAAGGGTCAAAAAAACAAGCAGCAAACCAGATCCAGCAGACCCAGGGGGCTTGACAAATTTCTGGCAGACTTACTAAGAGAGCAGCAGTAAATGGTGTAGACAATGCTTTCGCCACCCGAAAACTATGTTGTTCTGTTTACTTTTTTTTGGGGGGGGGGTAATCCAGAGAGTCTTATTTTTTTTTCACACCTATCATGCCATGAATTCACAGGGAATGGGTCTGGCAGTTCAGCGCCTCCCTGGGGGTTGTCACCAAGTGTGCCTCTTGGGGTGGGATAGGCTGGTGCTTCAGTTGAACCCAAGCACCTTTCTCTTTGGCTTCCTTGTTTTCTGATCACTTTCTTTTATATGTTTCAGGAAGCGCTCTCAGCTCTTAGGGTGCTTAATATGCTCAACACCAACAGTAATTCTCTTGGTGAGAATCTTGCCCTTTACTTGTGTGTTCACAGCAATGCCAACTGCATGCCAGGGAACACTATAGACTCGAGTTTTGCCATGAGAACACATGTGGGGCACTCCTTCTTGAACAGTGCCAACCCCCCACCAACCCCCGATGTCTATAATTATCACCTTTCTTGTAGATTTACAAGTATATGACCAAGGGAACAACTCCGCATTTTCTCAAAGGCCCAGAGAACATATAGTGGGGGCCTCTCCTTGTTTCCTTTGTGTAGGTCATTTGACGATTTACTGGAAGTTGGTGGTTCTGGCTGAAAAAGGCTATTTACATTTTTAGATGTAAATAAGATGCTTTTGCCACAAGTAAGACATTAATCACCAGGTCCTGTAATCCACACAAAAAGGCAGGCACAGTTTATATGTCTGGGTAGTTTACATGTCATTGAGGCAAAGGGCCTCTGGCAATGGATATGCTTTCACCAAAGGAGCCTGAATTGAGTTTGCTCTCCCAGTCCTCCCTTCATCCTTGAAGAGAGCATCCAAGGGGGTAGCGAGAGGAGAGCAGAAATCATCTCACAAAGCGGCCTGACACCAGTGACAGAGGGAAGGTACATTTTCAAATGGTCTCAAGATAACAGGGAAAAGCTTGGGGAAGAAGAGCAATGGATACGGTGCAACGGGGATGCCAGGTCAGGGGTGGGAAAAGCCACAGTCTAAACCAGCCACCAACAGTGTGACGACAGAGTCAACTAGCTATAAGCAAAGAGTTCAGGGGGTGGGTGTGGAGCCAAACTGCCTGGGTTTAATTATAATTAAATCCCAATTCTGCCAATTACTGCATATGTGATTGAGCTGAAATTCACTCAACCGATTCCTCAACAACATAAACACAGAACTGCCATACAACCAGCAATTCCACTCCTAAATGTACACCCAAGAGAAACAGGTATTAATGAAATGCATCTAAGCACATTCAGAACAGCTTTCATAATCACCAAAAGTCAGAAAAACCCAAATGCCTATCAACTGAGGAATAGGCAAACAAACCGTGGTGTAGCCCTAGGATGGAAGTATTCAGGCATAGAAATGAATGAAGTACTGACACCTGCTACAACGTGAACCTTGAAAATACTGTACTGAGTCAAAGGCCAGCATAAAAGACCACAGCATACATGATGCTATTTCCTTGCAGCTCACAGTTGTCCACCCAGAAGAGGTAAATCCATGGAGAGAGAGCAGATTATTCAAGGAAGGGAGAATGAATGTGACTACTTAGTGGGCACAGGGTTTCTTTTTGGGGTGATGAATAGCAGTGGTGGCTGCATAAGAGGGCAATTGTGCTAAATACAAATTGTGCTTTAAAATTGTCAAATGATACGGCTTGAGTTCGATCCCTGGCCAAGAAGCTGACCCACATATGATGCAGCAGACCTCTCCTGACATGCCCACCACTCCCCCAGTGTATTTCAGGGGAGCCTGTTCTGCTCCCCACTGTCTCTGATGAATCCTCTCACCCCCCACACCTTTGGCCTACACCCCAGTTCTGTAAAATGGAGATAGCATTGTGGTGAGAGTTAAAAGGAAAAGGAAAAACAAAACACTTAAGCCTGGCTCACCTCATACTTGGTGCCTGATCTGGCCCACAGTGTCCTGCATAACCTGTGCTAATAGTCAAGCTCTATAAAATAGTCAATGCTGTCCATCAGGGCAGCACTGTGGCTACCAAGCACTTGAAATGTGGCTAGTGTGACTAGCCACACTTTGTTTTTTTGGTTTTTTTTTTTGTTTAGGTATAATTTTTTGTTTTGTTTTGTTTAGTTATAATTTTTTTTTTGTTTGTTTGTTTTTTTTTCCGCTTTGTTTAGTTATAATTCAATTTCAATAGCACTGGCAGCTAATACCTATTATCTTTCTACAGCCGCTTACCTAATTCTCAGAACAACCTCCTGAGATAAGTGTTTTAAAGATAAGGAAAGGACAAGTGATTTATCCAAGGCCACAAAACTCAAGCTCAGGACTCTGTGACCTAGAGTTGGAAATGGAAACAATTTTGCCTGGCTCCAAAGCTCCTTCCGCTATCCTAAGCTGTTTTTCTCAGTAGAAGGGATGGGTTTGGACTTAAGTCCAAACTTGCCATTAAGCAAGTTCCAGGGATTCCAAATGAGGGCACTGTTGCCACAGTAGGCAGAAAAGTCAATTGCGCAACAAAGAGAAGGGCTGGCTAGACAGAGAAGGTAAGTAAAACACAGGGACCATTCCTCTCGCTGCTTGCCCCGCCTCTCCCAACACCCACCCCAATCTCTGCCTTCTACTTGCCTAGTCTATCTGTGGTCTTCTCAGTCTCTCTCTCCCGATGAGAGTGGTCCACTGAGGCAGAGCCAGCCTGCAGGAAAAAGAAAGTCCAAAGACTTGAACATCTGGGGTATGCCGGGAATTAAGCTATTGTGTCTCAGCCCCCAACCCAACGTCCATATTCCCCTTTTTGATGCTGGGCTTGGATTCTGCAACCCATAATTTTGCTCTGCCCTGTCAGACTCTGGCAAGGCTCCTTCTACTCCGGTAGGCATCACCCCAGCGATGCTTCTTCATCCCTGGCAGCAAAAGTACCTTCCTTTATTGGCTGTTGAACCCAGTTTTGTTTGCCAAAGCCTCCACAACCAGCCTCATCCCTGGACCCTCTCTTAAGAGGTCTGAGTCCTGGGTCCACAGCACCCCCTGGATCAGCACACACACCCCTGCCCAACAAGAGGTTGTATTTTAGCGCTGCAAAGCCTTCCCTCTGAGCTTTTACATTTAAATCATCCCAACCTCAGCCCTGGGTTCCTTCAGCCCTAAGGTGAGGCAGTTTCTACCAGCAACCCGAAGGCGCTTCCATCATGTTGACTTTTTATCTTTCCAGTTACTTTTTTATCTATGTAACAACTCTATCAAAGTCTGTCTCCTGACTGATACAGGGGGAGAGCAGAGCTTAAGCTCCTTTGCTGCACTGAAGGGTAAGCTTCCCCCCACAGTCAACCATCACCCTGAAATTCTATCACCTCCAAGACCTCTTTCAAAATGGACAAGAAGAAAAAAACAAAATCAACAACAAATGTTGACTGCCATTAAGGAAGTTTCAGGGATTCCAAATGAGGGCACTGTTGCCACAGTAGGCAAAAAGCAACTGCGCAGCAAAGAGGAGGGCAGGCTAGACAGAGAAGGTAAGCAAAACACAGGGACTATTCCTCTCACCTCTTGTCCTGCCTCTCCCAACACCTACCCCAATCTCTGCTTAAGAGATTGGGGTTTATGATAAAATAACACTCATAAAAACACCTAGTATGTAGCAAATCCACCTTCTTGGCCTCTTCATCTAAACTGCACTTGGCACCTGCCCAATTAAGCAGATGATCTAGTCACACCTGGATTTGATGAGTCAATTCCACCTGAGGCCATGTGGTGGGGGACCTCTCACCTAGGCCACTGCAGTGTCCTCCTACCTGCCTCCCACCCATCTTGCCAAGCCTTAGGGTGATGATCCCCACTCCACTTAAAAAAAAAAAAAAAAAACCTTTCCATCGCCCCTCCACTGCCCAGCACTAAATGCATCATGGCATCCTCACCTCCCCCTCACATCTGATCCCAGCTCTCAGATCCAAATCTTTTGTCCAGTATTTCCTCATCTCCACACCTTTGCAGGCACCTCCATCCTCACCCTGGGGAGGAAATGCACGTCCCTTGCTATGCCCTGTCAAAATTAGTCTCTCCCTATGTGCATTTCGAAGTATTTTTAAGACTATGGCTACATTTTTCTTACTTTGGTTAGCTACTATTTGAGATGCTTTAACAAGCATTCCTTTTCTCCATCTAATTAACAGGCGTGTCAATCGTGCCCAGCACTAGCTAGCCTCTGGCTTAACAGCAATAAACAGAAAGTTCCTACCCTCCAGGAGCTCACCATCTAGCAGATTATTGACTGCAAAGAAGGACAGGTGACGGATGTAAAACGGTCTTTGCAAAACCAGGAGCTGTCTGATGCGTAAATGAAAACAAGTTTCTGGAAACCCCGCATCAAACCGGCCTTTTGGTTTCAGGTAAATAGAAAAGGAGAGAGCGCTTGAGACAACATCCAGGTTATTGATCATCCCCACCAATGAACATAGGTCCTTCAGGGTAAATCCCTCTCCTCTCCGCCCTCACCTGACCCCTGCCAAGGCCCCCAGCAGCAAACCCCAGCCCTCGGTCATCAGCACCACCTCCCATTTAACCAGTACGCAGAGACGCCCTCGGCGCCGAGAGCTTTCCCACCCACGCCCTCCGGGTTCCCCACCGCGCAGACCCGCAGCTCTCCGGCCGTTTCCAGCTAGAACGCGCGCCCAAACGGCGTCCCGCGATCACCCGGCCAACTAAAGCGCCTCCCCGGCCCCGCGAGCCCCGCAACTTCCCGCCCTAGGCCGCAGGTGGTGGCCGCACCCGGCCCCAGCGCGGCGCTCACCCCCGGGCTGGGGGGCGCCTCCTGCGCGCTCAGCAGCGGCGGGCCCCGAGGCGGCTCCGCGGCCCCCAGCGCCTGGGCCCCGGCGGCCTGGCGGTCCATGCCCGGCGGCCCGTGGCTCGGCGCCTCGGACGCTGCTTGACCACGTGACGCGCCGGCCCGGCCACCAAACGCCGCGTAGAGGCCAATCAGCCTGGGGTGCTCCCTCCCGGCCGAGGGGGGCGGAACACTGGGGTCACGAGGAAGCCAGGGGCGGGCCGGGGCGGGGCTGGCAGGCCGGCGCGCGCCGGAACAGCGAAAGCCCCCTACCTACGGGTCTGGGAATATCGCTGGTGCAGATCCCGGGGTGGACATACTGAGTCTGGAATGGCAAATGTTTTCCCTAACCAACCATACTGGATGTGCTTAGGCTCCAAAACCTGTCATTCCTGTTAGTATATTCTATCACCAGGGTCTACCTGATAGTGAATAAAGCTCAGCTCTTGAAACTTTTAATGCAATTGTAGCTCCAACCACATTCCACCCTCTTCTCACAGATTTCTTTAGAACTCAGACCTGAATTAGCCTGTAACTCATCCTCAGATAGATGTGGCGACTCAGCAACCCAGTAATTCTCCATCTTTAATGCATTAGAAACCAGATAATCAAAACAAAATTCCTACAATGTGCTGGACACCACATAGGATAGGACACGTTCACAATTTGACCTGCGTACCCATCTTTCAGTGCTCAAAGACTGGCACTCTACAACCTAAAAGTGGCAGAAGATGGGCAGGGCCTGAGATGGGGATCAGCCCACTCTAAAAAACTTCCCGTAGCCCTCACTTCTCCTATCTCCTTCCAACCCCCAGCCCTCACCTCCCCCCCAAACCAAACCTCTCAAGGTGTGTAATTGCATTAACATCTAAGTAGCAGAAAAGCTGGAAACTAGGATTCACTGCTTATAGGACCACCTTTGGACGCGCTGTTGGGACATCAGAACATATTCCTTCATCTCCTCAAAGAATGTGTTTATATATAAACTATGTATTTCCTTTTTCTCTATGTAGACTTCACTACCTGAAAGAGAATGTGACCAATTAACGTGGGCTGTTCTGACCCTTAAGTACATTTCTCCCATGCTAACTGGATCTAGATCAAACTGCCCAACAGAACCTTCTGTGATGGTGGAAACTCTATTATAATCTGTGCTGTCCCATGGTAAACAGCACTTGAAATGTTGCCAGTATAAATGAGAAGCTGATCAATGCTAACTTAAACTCACCCAGGGACTAGATGCTTACATCTAACCTCACAGCTCCAGTGAACTAGCTAGAAGTATTTTCATAACCTGCAATAGTGAGAACTGGATACAAGGTTGAGCCACCTTCACAGCTTTGCTTTAAGAAGCCACCACCCCCCTCACTGCCTTCATCTCTTAGGTGCAAAAAAAGTATCTTTTTCCTAAGATAAAAATGCCAGGAAAGTATTTGGAATGTTAAGCTTCCTGGGACTTAATGGAGGGGAAATAAGGGTGACTTTTCTTATTTTAAAGCAAATGACAAACAACATTTAGAGTACAAAAACTCAAAATAAAAATGTCCTCAAACAGGCTCTAATATACACAGAAATCTAAGATAAAATAAAGATAATATCACAAATCAGAGAGAAAAATGACCACAAAGGTTGTGGAGAAATTACTTAACTGCTTGGAGGACAAAAACGAGCTGTCCTCAGCAAAAGGAAGGGTTTTCAACAACACAAATCATACACACACACACACACACACACACACACACACACACACACCCCCACACACACACACCCCCCCCCGTTTGGACATCAAAAAACACTATGAAAATTTTGAGAAACCTGATTAAAAGGATTGGCAATAAAGAAGAAACAAAAGATGAATACTCTTAATATATTTTTAAAAACTTAGAAAAAATCCACAAAATATTCAAGGACATCCCAAGACAAGAGAACCAGAAAAACACATTAACTTCACTAGTATCAGAGAAATACATATTAAAACAATATCAGTTCTCACCTATTAAAATTATAAAAATAAAAAATATTACACCCATACAGGTAAAAATGTTGACATTTTCATACATTGCAAATAGGCAATATATATCAATATCTCTAAAAATAGTTATATCCTTTAATCCAGTAATTCTGTCAGATGTCAATCTCCTACGGAAATAACCAGCAGAAATAGGAATAAAGGTTCACAAGAATCTTCATCAACATCATTCATAAGAAGAAAGTTAAAAATGACTAGGTCCAACCATAGGGGATTAGTAATGTAAGTCCTACTTCATCTACATAATGAAATATTATAAATTCATTAAATGTTGTTAAAGCTATTTAATAACATGGAAAACAACATAAGTAAAACTGCACTGAAGGCTTCTCTGAGTGCACTATAATGTTACCTTAAAGACTATAAAATTCAAACAATTGCCTCCTCTGCTCCCAGACTTCTTCCATCCTCACCTCAAAGTCCTTCAGCATTACTCTAATCTATTTCTTACCCCCACCCTTCTTTTGTTGCCAGTCTCCCAAATGTAAACACTTCTCTGCTGACTAGTCCCAGAGATGCTAAGATATCTTTATAATACCTTAATCTTCTGAAAAGACAACCTTTTCCCCAATACCCAGCATTCTTCCCTGCTGCTTCAACCAGCTCTCTCAAGACACCCAGCTCAACATTTACCTCCATCCCCAAAAGCTACCCTTCTTTCCTGCTTATGATGGGCACTCAGTGAATGAAAGTGTAAGTGATTTAACAGTTTAATCCAATTTTGACAAAGGAAATAAAATTACTGAGTTTAACTCCAGATGAGAGAATTACAGGATGTTTTTAATTTTCCACTTCACATTGTATTTTACTCCTACATACTTTCTACAATAAATGCATACTACATATACATTTATAATAAGAAAATAATAAACAAAATAGAATTATAATTTTTCCTCCCTTTTTATTTATCCCTAACTCTAGGTTAGGGATACTCATGCTTGGCCAGGAGTAATAAAAGAATCTCAACTATACAATTTCCATATATTTTGGGAAATAGTCCATATATTTGAGAAACCTATGGTAGGTTCAGACTCAAAAAGTAGCCTATGGCCACTAAACAGTTCTCTTTTCCAGAATTAAATATTAACGCATTAACAAAATGAAAGCATGTCTCAAAATCAGACAGCCATCTTGTCTGCCATCTCTGAGCAAATTGTAAATGAACTCATTTTACAAATCTGCCCAGAGAGTCTACAGTACTATTTCACAAAGTTGGCCATGTTCTTCCTCTTCACAAATGACCAGCCTGATGCATAGCGTGTTTAGTTACAAAAACCTCTGCTGACTCTCCCTGCAACATTTTCATGGCCCGCCAATAGATCTGTCCGCAGTTCTCAGGTCTCCCGAGGGGCGGGTTCAATTCTTCTTTTATGTAATCCATCCAAAGATCTTTGAAGGGAACAACAAAATTTATTGTTAAGTGTACAATTAGATAATTGACAAGGATTTATTAGATACACATAATTACCTAGTACTTACTCAATACAAGATTTCTAAGAAACTTAATTTTTACCCATAATTTCACTAGAACTTTATGTATTACAGTATCTCTCTTCTTTACACTAAGATATATCGAAACATTTTTAAGTAGAACATTTCACTTTAGTCATGACAGACTATATATTTCATAAACTCAGAAACATATTTTAGAGGAAGAGTTTTTCTGAGACTCTTTCACGGTGAAACTGACTTGAATGAGTTCACTATAACCTTGCTGCCATGTTTAACAAAGCTTGTCTGGATTAATAAAGATAACATTCTCACTCACTTCCCCGGAAGAGGTATGTTGAAATCTTAAAAAAGTTAACATTTTTTCAGATGTGAATTTAGTAAGTAGATGCGATGGTTTTTTAGTTCACATGTAAAAAAAAAGTTTATATGACATATCTATTCAGTAATGTTTCCCATTCTTACAAATGAAGACAATGTGGAACAGCAAATGACAACTAATGTCAACAAGCACCCAACAATCCCTTTGTTTTAACTCCCACTGCTTTCTGTGACCTACATCATTAGCCTTTTCTTACAAAGATTACATTTTTTAAGAGAACCAAACCAAGCAAATACTCTAATCCAGGGTTCTTATTTGAAAACACATGGACTCTTGGGCTTGTAAACTTGAAATTACAAGCAAAACTGATGTCTGTAAGTATTTATGCACAAAGTGAGAGAGGCAATAACAGAAGGATGCAAGTTTTATTCTCGAAGAGTACCATGACCCAAAGAGTTAAGAAATACTGTTCTAACCACACTGATAGGTTAGAGATCACAGAGGCAAACAGATTTGTGTGTCATTACTGAAGTTTACTTACCAGAATCTACAGATCCGAACTCCCTCAAAGCCCTCTCATAATATTCTCTCAAGTTTGCCATCTTGCAGGATTCCTAACAGAAAAACCAGACAATCTTGCCTCAAAAGACTAATTCATCATGTCACAAAGTCACTTCAACCACCCTGTCAGGCAACTACTATCTATTAGGGATTTGAAGAGAAGTAGCATCAGGATAAACTCAGACTGGTTCTCAACTTCCAGAGAAAAATCAAATGCACTACTTGCCAGAGTAAAGTAAATGTAACAGTGATAGAAGCACTTTACTATGGTATCTTGGAAAAAAATAATTCTCAATTGGGGAACAAGAGCAACTTCACAGGAACATATATCTGAAAGTCCTGAGAGATGATGATTTAAATAAAGGGAGAAGATTTCCACTGCCTACAGGCAAATTTTCTTTTTGAATATTTGGGTTCTGGCACATGCTAGCTATGTCTATTGCGAAACATATTTATGTCCATACTTTATTTTTCTAAAGATTTATTTATTTATGCATATAAGACCTGGAGTGCAGGGTAGAGGTGCAGGGGGTGAGAGGATCCAGAGACAGAGCGGGGAGCAGAACAGACGGATCCACTGAAATACACTGCTGAAGGAAGCAGCGCGCGTGAGATAGGAAAGGTCTGCTGCGCCATGTAGGTCACCTCCCTGGCCGGGGGATTGAACTCATACTGCAGTGGCTGCAGAGAGCTTTATAGTACTGCGACTTAACCCCCTGCACCACCAGGGAGGTCCTATGTCCATACTTTAAAAAAAATCTCAATATTAGTTCTATAACCCTGACATGTTTTTTAAACCCTCTGTCCTTGGAAGTTTCCTCGCCCATAAAACAAGGATAGTACTATTTCTTAGAGAAATGCAAAGAATTAAATTAAAATGCTTACACTTACCACACCTAGGATATATTAATTCTTTACCTCTGCTTCCACTGAAATGCTCACCCCTGAACATGGGTTTTAACTGTGCCAGTCCATTGGGCCACCCTGGTGGTACAGGGGTTAAAGACAATGCTATCAAGCTATTGCCAGCCATTGCAGCATGAGTTCGGTCCCCAGGCTGACCAGGGAGCAACCCACATGGCTCAGCAGACCTCTCCTGCCTCGCCCACTGCTTCCCTCAGCAGTGTATTTCAGTACATCTGCCTGTTCTGCTCCCCACTCCCTCTGGTGAATCCTCTCACCACCACCCCCCACATCTCTGGCTTACACCCCAGTTCTTATATGTATAAATAAGTAAATCTTTAAAAATAATTAAAATAAATAAACTGTGCTAGCCCATTTACATGCAGTTTTTTCCTATCAGATATTCCACATTCACAGATTCAACCCAGGCAGATATTAACTGGCTGAACTCCTGGACACAGAGCCCACACATGTAGAGGACCTATGCAAGTTATATGTGGATCTCTGGCTATGTGGGAGTTGACAACCCTACATCCAATGTTGTTCCAGGATCAATATAGTTCCTTTTCTTTCACTTTCAAAGCAGATCGACAGCTTAAAAAATCCTTTTGTATAGAAAAAATAATTATTTTTTTCATTGAAATTTCTCTTCAGTGAGGCTGTATCTTTTTATAGATGGTCAATTTACTTATTTATAGATTTATTTATTTAGGCATACAAGAACTGGGGTACAGGCCAGAGGTGGGGGGGGGAATGAGAGGATTCACCAGAGAGCGTGAGGAACAGAACAGGCAGACTGACTGAAATACACTGCTGGGGGGAGCAGCAGGCAAGTTAGGAGAGGTCTGCTGCACCATGTGGGTAGCGCCCTGGCCAGGGGCTCAAACTCGTGCTACAGTGGCTGCGGAGAGCTTCACAGGTTGCATCTTAACCTCTTGCACTACCAGGGAGGCCCATATAGAAGGTCAATTTAACCTTATATCTTGCACATGCATGAAAAACAGAAGCACACTTTGTCAAAGTGCATGACACTGACAAGTACTTTCTATCCAATATCCTCATCAGCCTTATAACCCTACACCCCTGGAAAGGATACTATGACTTCCATTAGAGATGAAGATGCTGAGGCTAAGAATTAAGTGTCTTGTCCAAGGCACATAATATTATGTCATTAATCCAAAGTTGGCTATCAATTATTATGCTAGACTATCTCATATTATAGAGTAAGAACAGATAACTGACCCACACAGTGATCAAAATCATGAAAATAAAATTTCAACCTTACAGGTAAAATTTTTTAAATTCAAATGCAAACAATAAACGCCAAACTAGCAAAATAGAGGAGAAAAAGCTAAACTGAACACTTGGAGAAAGTGTGCAAAAATAAGTATACTAACATATCTGATTACCACCATAAATCAGAATAATTCTCTTCAAGGACTATCTAACAATATATACAGAATCATCTTTAAAAAAAAATCTTAGCGCCTCTGGAAATTTCCTGGGAACAAAACTAAAATATGGAAGGCTGTGGTCCAAGGTGATTTTTGCTGGCTGCTGTGTCTCTGGAACTAGTGGGAAGATACAGCTCTTCTTGAAATCATTTATGTTCAAGAGGAAACTGAATTCTATTTACATAAGAGATATACTTATATGTACAAAGCAAAGAATACCACAGTCACTCAAACGACTAAAGCTAGAGTCATCTGAGGAAAGGTAGCTCATGTCCGTGGCAACAGTGGCATGATTTGCTCCAAATTCTGAAGCAACCTTTCTACTAAGGCCACAGGACACAGAAGTGATGCTCTACTTCTCAAGGATTTTAACTTTTTAAAAAGACAATAAATAAAATTGGATTTGTAAAAAATCAGTGTCTCTAAGCTTAGAGAACTAAGAGAATTTAGAGAACTAACTTAAATTTATCTCAACAAAATAATTCAAAAGGAAAAAATTGCTATAAAAATAAAGTTTGCAACACCCTGTTTTCAATATCAAGAAACTACGGGGAAGAAAATCTTCATGTAAAGAAACATTTATGAAAATTCTGGGTTTAATAGCTTTACCGCACTCGTGCTTTGGTGGAGACATTCAGTGTATTAAGCAGAATAACCCCTACAAGTTCATGGAACTGTCATTGTGGTAGAAGGCTTGACCAGCAACCACATTATGGGCACCGAGGACCAAATGTCTGTGTAGATGAACAAGGCCAAGGCTGACAAGGTAATAGGCAGGTTCAACAGCCAGTTACAATCTATGCTATCTGCAGGGCCAGTGGATGGACAGGTGAGCCAATGACTCCATTCTCCAACTGGCATGGCTGATAACAAAGAACTCCTGACCAGAGAGGATCATAAATGTGGAGCATTTGTCATAAAGAAATAGTGAACCCTACTCCACTGCAAAAAAAATAACACTGCAGGGGTGTCCCTGTTGGCACAGGGGTTAAAGTTCAAGCGTTATCAAGCTATCACCAGCCACTGAAGCATGAGTTCAATTCCCGGCCAGGAAGCTATGTCACATGGCGCAGCATACCTCTCCTGTCTCGCCTGATGCTCCCCTCAGCAGTGTATTTCAGTAGATCTGCTCCCCACTTTATCTCTGGTAAATCCTCTCATGCCCTGCACCTCTGGCCTACACCCCAGTTCTTGTATGCATAAATAAAAATAAATCTTTATAAAAATAAGACAGCAACCATTAAAAATGATGATTATATAAAAACATAGGAATGCATTTATAAAATGTTAAGAAGTTAACCTCCATATGGCACAAGTCAGAAATATAACAGTATAAAACTGTTTACATATAAATAAAAAATTTAAAAATTATGGCTGGTTGTGTTACTACGATGGGATTACAGCTACATTTAGATTTTCATTTATTATTTTAAACTGAGACTTTTCTGCATCTTGCCTCACTCACAAGTTCAGTTAACACCAGAAAAACTTACTGAGTGCCTACTCTCCACCCTACATCTCAGTAAGAGAAACAAATCAGACACTGTGGATGGAGACAGAGAAGTCCACTTCACCCTGTCTGGCAGGAAGGAGTTTTCTATTTTGCAGGCATGTACTTTCTCTTTTTTGCTTAATGACCATAATTCTTAAATTATCACTATGAAAAAAAGGGAACCAGAAATTTACACTGTAAAAGGGAACCAGAAATTTACACTGTATTTTGAGATTTTTTAAATAACAAAATGCTGCCATAGATAAGTAATCACTATACCAATTTTCCCAGACAAGAAATGCCTAAGACAAAACACTCACTTGCTCCTTTTCAAACTGGATCATTTTCCTGAAAAAATCAACTGAAAATGGACGACTTTCCTGTAAACTAAAAAAAAAAAAAAAAAAGAAAAAGAGATGTTATTTTTGAAGTGACAGAAAACCTCTTAAATATAAATCCCCACAAATATAAATGCCTATGCCAGTACTTCACAACACATGGCTTAATAAAGACCTGGCTGGGATTCAATGCATGGGATCTGACCAGCGTCACTCTCAACATTTCAACTTCAGCATTGACTCTCAACATTGCTTACTCTTCACCACCACTAACTCCTCTCTACCCAGTTTTCTTTCTGTTCTCTTCTTTCTCACTTTCCCAGTTTTAAGTTCCCTCTCCTATATCTCGAGGTCTTTCTGAAGGACAGTAATAATTCCATTTCTTAGAATATGTTCTAAGGAAAAGTTTGCAATGAGAATACAATCATTTAATAAAGTTGTCCATTTGTATGACATAAAAAAAATAAAGTGTACAAGTTGGGAAAAAAAAAAAGAATATGTTCTAAGGAAATAATTTCCAATATAAGCAAATAATATTTGGGCACAAATATTCATCAAAGTAGTATCATGGTGGGCAAATAAATTATACCACAACTCCTTGAACAATATGCCATGTAATTATTTTTAATAAGTGATATTCATGAAGAACTATTCTGGACAGGGAGCTATTCTGATGTTAATTAAAGCAATATACAAAACAGAATTATAGTATAATCTCAAGTACATGAAAAACAAACTTTGAAATACTTTAACATGATTTTTCTCTTAAATATGAAATTACCATGTATTTTTAGTTATCTCCCCCCCCCACCCCCAATCTCACAGTGGGTATGAACTGCCTCTATTGTTCAAAAAGGGAAAGAAAAGCTTTTGAAAAAGCCTCTTGGATTACTTCCTCAGTTATTCTTTGTGATATATATAATCAGGGACCAAAGAAAGTAGTAACAGCTCTTTCTGATACATATTCTGAGACCTATAAAACCAGTAACAGCTATGAACATTTGTGAGTACCTTTTAAACACAGCTCTGGCCTTTTTGTAGCCACCACTTCGATAAGCCCAATCCAGGTACTTATCCTTCAGAGTGACTGAGTCGGCACCTGTGATAGCTAACATAGCTTTCTGTAATTTAAAATAAAAAATATTTTTTACACATCAAAGCAAAAAAGAACTTATAAATATCAAAGCAAATTTTCCCAGAAACAGTCCAGACCACTCAACAGTGCTTCAGAAACACATGCTATAGAAATAAACTAAAGCTGGGCCTCCAATGGGGCAGACGGTTGAGTGCAGCGCTACGAAGCTGACCACAGCCTCTGCAGTGTGGGTTTGATCCTGGCCGGCTGCGGAGATACCCACGTGGCATGGCAGACCTCTCCTGTCTTGCCCGCTGCTCCCTCAGCAGTGTATTTCAGTCAGTCTGCCTGTTCTGTTCCCTGCTCTGTCTCTGGTGAATCCTTTCACCCTCCCACACATCTGGCCTGTACCCCGGTTCTTATATGCATAAATAAATAAATCTTTAAAAAAAAAAAAAAGAAAGAAAAAAACTAAAGCTACTCAACTAGTGAGTCTACCTGCTCATTCTCCACATATCACAAGACTTAGAACATGGAGTCTATACCTTAAAGATGGCTTCAGTGTCTTCTTGGCTTTTAGCACCTTCACTCCACTCTGCCCAAGAAATCCACAATGGCAGACAGCCCTGCTCACAATGAAAAAAAAGGTAGAAAACAACAGCTTAGCAATATGCTCTGCAAACTACTCACTATATAGAGAAAGATTGCTTCTAAGAGAACCAATATGTAAAACACTGAATCATTCCTAGTCTGCCATCACTGTGACGGAAGTCTCAGCACCCTCAGCCATAACACAGACAGCCTTCTGCCCAAGTCACCCAAAGTTTCCTTCTGTCAGGGAATACTGCCTACAGTTACTGTCATCAACTACCTGTTAGTTAATTAAGTAATTAACAGCCCACAGCTAGTCAGACCCATGCTACCCAGGTCATATGTCAGCTATCTAGGAGGCACAATGTAAGAACTAACTACTCTAGACTAAACTGTCTGACCTTCTCTCATATCCCAGAGGTACACACACAAATTAGCAATACAACAGTTAAAACTTTTTCCTATTACTATAGAAATTACTTTAGTAATTTTTCCCATTACTATGAAAGATTCACAGTAAAGCCGTAAGGTTTAGATAAATATGTTTAAAAACTGAATTTAAGTTCGGCTTCAGAAGAATAATCTTCTATTAATATTTCTCACTTATAAAATATCTCAATAGAACAGAAAATTGTATAGAATTAGTCCATTTTCAAATAAAGAATTAGAAACAGGCTATTAAGTGGAAGTAAATTCTTCTATTCTTGACCCTTGAACCATCACCACGAATGCTTCCCAGTGCCAGTTCTCATCACACAAGTAAAATCCATGTGAGTTTTGTCTGACATCTTAACAAGCTTTCCAAATAGAATGAAATACGAAAGACCCAACTCACAGACCTGGGGTTTGAGGCACACAAAGGCTTCTTCAAATAACATGGCTATGTCAGGGCTCTTGGAGTGAATCAGCACCTGCAGCTTCATCTGCCACATCATCACAGAGTCTCGGAACAATTCTGTGCCAGCTACTGCCACTTCCAGAGCTTCCTTTAAGAAGTTATGGTCCAGTAACAACTGACTCTAGATGAGGAAAAGGACCATTAGAAAATTAACTACCAAAAACTTAATTATCTATATAAATAGAACAATAATTTCAACAATCTTCCAATTTAATCTTTTATCATGGCTGCCAGGCAGACACAAAGTGAACAATTTCCAATTCCTCCTGCCTTCCCTGTTTCTAATCCCCAGAGCTATCAAAAAAGAGATGAAAAGAAAAGGGTTTAAATAATTTAGACTGAAAGTTTTTAATAAAACAGTCTGCTATACTAAAACCCATACCCACCAAACAGATTATAAAAATCAGTAAAGATAAAACCAGTATTTGTGGTAAGGAAACAAAGTATTCATTCAACCAGAACTGGGCACACTACAAATTGGTACAATCTTTTTGAAATACAATTAGACATTACATAACAATAGTCATGAAAATGTTCATATCTGAAGCTTGGTAATTTTATTTTAATATAACCAAACAAGTAAATGAACAGAAAGAAATCTTATCTATTAAAATGGTGGTATCCACATTAACAGAGGGGAAAAAACCAAAACCAATCCAATTTTACAAAACTAAAAAAGTAAATGGCAGTATATAATTCATTCATTCAATAAGCACTTCTACTGTACACTTTATTTGCTAGATTCATAACAAGCAAATCAGGGATGTTCCCTAGTGCCCACAGAGCATCCAGTCCTGTAGGAGTCAGAGTGATACATGTCATGACAGAAAAAGAATGATGCCTGGGAAGGGCACCTGCGGTAGCGATGAAAAGGAATTCCTGGAAAAGAAGTACCATTTAAGCTAAGGCTGAAGAGAGTGTCAGGTGAAAGCACAGATTCCCAGGAAGAGAAGCATCTTCCAACCAGCAAACACAAGAGGTAGAAGATGAGAGAGCTTGGAATCAAAATGAAATCCAAATTCATTTAGCTGAAGGGATGGGATGTAACCCGGGGAAGTGGAAAGTGAAGCCAGAAATACAGGCCAGGGGTAAATTAAGGAAACTTAAGCAGCTTTAGCCAGAGGATAAAACAATTCTAAAATATTGTTCTACAGAGAGAAATCTGGCGAAAAGATAAGAGCAAAGTCAGCTAAGTATTTTAAGTTGAGAAGCAGTATCTTCAAAGACTCTCATTGAAAGGCAAAATCTGCAAATGGGTGTTGAGATGGTAGGTTTAAGAAGAGCAGCATGCAAGATCTGTGCAGCAAAGGATGTTTGAGATAACCAGGATGGTGAACAGCAAAAGGAACATGGAAAGAGAGCAAGAATGCCAAGGCAACAAAGTAAAACCCATCTGAATTTATCAGGGTGACTGTCCTGCCAGCATTCAAGAGCTCGAGCAGGAGCAGCTGAACTCATTGAGGCCCAAGTCTTTTCCCAGAAAGAAGCTATAGTGGGAGACAGGACCTCATATAGTATACAAAAATGTAATGTAAAAAAGAATTCAAAACCTCCCTGGTGGCACAAGGGGTTAAGACACAGCACTATGAAGCAATCCACAGCCACTGCAGCACAAGTTTGATTCCTGGCCAGCCAGGAAGCAGCCCACATGACACCTCTCCTGTCTCGCCTGCTGCTCCCCTCTGTAGAGTGTTTTGGTCAGTCTGCCTGTTCTGTTCCCGACTCTGTCTCTGGTGAATCCTCTCACCCCCGACATCTCTGGCCTGTACCCCAGCTCTCATATGCATAAATAAATAAATCTTTAAAAAAATAGAATACAAAATAAGCAAGATATTAAATGCAATTATGTAAAACTTGCATGATTCAAGAGTCAGACAAATAAAAGGCACTCAATATACAAAATTCTGTCCTTATATCCCTCCAAAGGTATTGAAACATTTTTTTTTGTTTTATTTTATTTTTGCATCAACAATATCAGTTTATTTCCCATTGACCTGACAATGTAATGCTGATACTTTTTTTTTAATTTTATATACTTTTTACATCATTTTTCATTTTTGCACAATGTATGCATTTTCATCTTCGTTATAGTCCCCATACAATTCCCACCTCCCTTTGTTTTGATCCCACTCCCTCCCCCCTACCCTGCAGTGCATCTCTGGTTTATAGCTGCTTGTTGATTTTGATTTTTACTTCATTATAATTACTTTTTCCTGGTCCTTTATTTAGATTTTCTAAATTCCTGCTATGAGTAAGACCATCCGGTATTTTTCTCTTTCTTTCTGGCTTATTTCACTGAGCATGCTTCCTTCCATCTCCATCTATGTTGCTGCAAATAGCATGAGTTTAATCTTTTTGGATTGCTGAGTTATATTCCATTGTGTATATGTACCACATTTTCTTGATCCAGTCATCTATTTTTGGGCATCTGGATTGTTTCCATAGCTTACCTATTGTAAATAGTGCTGTTATAAACATAGGGGTGCACGTGCCCTTTTGAATTAATGTTTCTGTGTCCTTTGAGTAAATACTAGGAGTGGAATTGCTGGATTATATGGAAGCTCCATCTTTAGCAGGTTGAGGAATCTCCATACAGCTTTCCATGGCGGTTAGACCAGTTTGCACTCCCACCAGCAGTGCAGGAGAGTTCCTTTTTCTGCACATCCTCTCCAACATTTGTTGTTGCTATTTTTTTTTAATATGGGCCATTCTCACTGGTGTAAGATGGTATCTCATTGTAGTTTTGACTTGCATTTCCCTGATTAGAAGTAACGCTGAACATTTTTCATATGCCTGTTGGAGAAGTTTCTTTTTAGCTCTTCCGCCCATTTTTTGACTGGGTTATTTATTTTGTTTTTGTTGAGTCTCATCAACTCTTTGTAGGTTTTTGTGATTAGTCCTTTATCATTAGTGTTGTGTGCAATTGGTGGGGTGTCCCTTTGTTTTGGTTACTGTCTCTTTTGCTGTCCAGAAGTTCTTTAATTTAACGTAGTACCAGCTGTTTATATTTGCCTTCACTATCACTGCTTTGGGTGATGTGTCTTAAAGATGTTACTGAGGCGTATGTCATGTAGTGCTTCGCCTATATTTCCTTGTATGTATTTTATGGTTTCAGGTCTTTTTTAAAAAGATTTATTTATTTTTATACAAGAGCCGGGGTACAGGCCAGAGGCATGGGAGGGTGAGAGGATTTACCAGACAGAGGAGGGAGCAAAACAGGCAGACGACAGAAATACACTGCTGAGGGGAGCAGCGGGTGTGACAGGAGAGGTCTGCCGCACCGTGTGGGATTCTCACCAGCTGGCTGGGATCGAACGGCGCTGCAGAGGCTGCGGACAGCTGCACAGCGCAGCGCTCAACCCGCTGTGCCACCAGGGAGGCCCCTATGGTTTCAGGTCTTAAGTCTAGTTCTTTAATCCATTTTGAGTTGGTTTTTGTGCATGGTGTGAGGCAGTAGTCAAGTTTCATTCTTATGCACGTAACAACCCAGTTTTCCCAGCACCATTATTGAACAAACTTTCTTTGTTCCAGTGCATATTCTTTGCTCCTTTGTCAAAGATTAGTTGACCATAAATCTGTGGGTTTATTTCTGGATTTTCTATTCGGTTCCATTGGTCTGTGTGTCTGTTCTTGTTCCAATACCATGCAGTTTTGATTATTATGCCTTTGTAGTATAGTATGGAGTCTGGGAGTGTGATATCTCCACTCCCTTTTTTTTTTTTTTTCAGGAGAGCTTTGGCTATTTGGGGTTTTGGTGGCTCCATATGAATTTCATCAATATTTGTCCTATTTCTTTGAAGAACGTCATTGAAATTTTTATTGGAATAGCTTTGACTCTTAATTGCTTTTGGTAGGATGACCATTTTGATAATGTTCATTCTTCCAACCCATGAGCAGGGTATATCTTTCCATTTTTTTGTGTCTTCTTCTATTTCTTTTAACAGTGTTTTATAGTTTTCTTTGTATAGGTCCTTTATTTTGTTAGGTTTATTCCCAAGTACTTGATTTTTTTTTGTTTCAATAATAAAAGGGATGGTTTTGTTGATTTCTTCTTCTTCAAATTTATTGTTTGTGTATAGTAAGGCTACTGATTTGTGTGTTAATTTTGTATCCTGCTACTTTTCTAAACTGATTGATTAGTTTTTCTGTGGAGTTTTTGGGGTTCTCTATGTATATTATCATATCATCTGCAAATAGTGATAGTTTAACTTCTTCCTTCCCTATTTGGATTCCATGTATGTCTTTCTCTTGTCTTATTGCTCTGGCTAGGATTTCCAGTAATGTATTGAAAAGCAATGGTGAGAGTGGACATCCTTGTCTTGTTTCAGATCTTAATGGAAATGCTTTTAACTTTTCACCACTGAGAATGATATTGGCTATGGGCTTGTCATATATGGCCTTTATGATGTTGAGGTATGTTCCTTGTATCCCGAGAATTTCAAGCGCCTTTATCATAAATGGGTGTTGTACTTTGTCAAAAGCTTTCTCAGCATCTATTGATATTATCATATGGTTTTTATTTCTTTTTGTTGATGTGTTGGATTACATTGATTGATTTTCAGCTGTTGAACCATCCTTGTGTCCCTGGAATAAATCCTACTTGGTCATGGTTAATTATCTTACGGATACATTGTTAGATTTTGATAGCTAAAATTTTATTGAGGATTTTTGTATCAGTGTTCATTAGAGAGAGTGGTCTGTAGTTTTCTTATTTCATGTTGTCCTGGTTTGGTTTTGGTATTAGTGTAATGTTGGCTTCATAGAACGTGTTTGGTATTATCCCTTCCTTCTCAATTTTTTGAAAGAGTTTATGAAGGATAGGCACTAGTTCGTTTCTGAATGTTTGGCAGAATTCATTTGTAAATCCATCTGGCTTTTGTTTTTGGGAAGGGTTTTGATGACCATTTCAATTTCACTGCTTGTAATTGGTCTGTTTAGGTGTTCTATTTCTTCTTTATCTAGCTTTGGGTGATTGTAAAGTTGTAAATTTGTCCATCTCTTTTAGATTGTTGAATTTGTTTGCATATAACTATTCATAGTAGTCTCTGATTATTCTTTTGATTTCTGCTATGTCTGTTGTGATTTCTCCTTTTTATTCGTGATTCTATTTATTTGGGCTTTCTCCCATTTTTCCTTTGTGAGCCTGGTTAGGGGTTTATCTATTTTATTTATTTTTTTTGAAGAACCAACTTTTGGTTTCATTGAATTTTTGGATTTTTTTTAGTTTCTATTTCCTTTATTTCTGTTTTGATTTTTATTATTTCCTTTCTTCCACTGGTTTTAGGGGTTTTTTGTTGTTCTTTTTCTAGTTCTTTGAGATATGTGATTAGGTTGTTTGAGTTCTTTCTTGTTTCTTGATGTGAGCCTGTATTGCTATATATTTTCCTCTTATTGCAGCTTTTGCTGCATCCCATACATTTAGGAAATTGGTGTCCTCCTTGTCATTTAACTCCAAGTATTTTTTAATTTCCTCTTTGATCTCATTAGTCCAGTGGTCTTCCAGCAGTATAGGTTTCAATCTCCATGAAGTAGGAGGGTTCCTTGCCTTCTTTTTATGGTTTATTTCTAGTTTGATGCCTTCATGGTCAGAGAAGATGGTTGGTATTTCAATCTTGGTATATCTGTTGATGTTTGTCTTGTTTCCCAGTATGTGATCGATCCTGAGAATGATCCATGTGTGCTTGAGAAAAATGTGTACTCAGATTTTTGGGAGGTTTAGTGTTCTATAGCGTTCAGTTAAGCCCATGAGGTCTAGATCCTTATTTAGAGCTTTAGTGTCCTTATTTTTTGTCTCAATGATCTAGCCATTGTAGATAGTGGTGTGTTGAAGTCTCCACAACATATGTATTTTCTCTATGTCTGTTTTCAGAGATGATAATAGTTGTCTGATAAATTTTGGTGCTCCTTCATTTGGTGAGTATATGTTAATGAGTGTTACATCTTCTTTAAGTACTGTCCCCTTGATCATAATGTAGTGGCCATCTGGGTCTCTTTTTACCTTTTTGAGTTTGAAATCTGTTTGATCTGATATCAGTATAGCTGTTCCTGCCTTCTTTTTTGGTCCATTTGCTTGTAGGATTGTTTTCCATCCTTTTACTTTCAGTCTATTTTTATCTTTTGTAGTTAAATGTGTTTCCTGGAGACAGCAAAAGGTTGGGTTTTGTTTCTTAATCCAGCCTGCAACTCTGTGTCTGTGTCTTTTTATTGAAAAGTTTAGTCTGTTTACCTTTAGAGTTAATAATGATATGTTAGCTTCTATATTTGCCATTTTGTTTGTCTTTTCTCTGGTTTTATTTATTTATTTATTTATTTATTTATTTATTTATTTATTTATTTAGATTGGTCTTGTTTTGTTCTTTTCATCCCTCTGCTGGTTCTGGCTTTAGGACTCCTTGTAGTATTTTTTGAAGTGGGAGTTTAGTCGTAATGAAATTCCAGAGTTTCTGTTTATCTGGGAAGGTCCTTACTCTTTCTTCAAAGAGGAAGGAAAGCTTTGCGGGATAGAGTATTCTTGGTTGACATTTGTTATCTTGGAGTTTGTTGACTATGTCCCTCCACTCTCTCTGGTATTTAAACATGTTAACACATTCATTATTTCATGTAATGCTCACAATAATTTTGTGAGGTAGCAGAAACAAGAGTACTATCACTATTTTAAAAATCAAGTAAACAAACTCAGGTTCAGTGGTTTGCCCAAATCACCTAGCTTTAAGGGGCAAAACCAAGTCTAGAAGCACGTATTCCCACAGCACATTATTCTGCCTTCTATAATAATCCTTACACACTCCAGAGGGTAGGTGTACATTAACATATGCCTTTTACTAGAAATGTCAGCTTCTAAAACACAAGAACACAGCTATAATTTGTCTTTCTATCAATGCTTAATCTGGATGAGGCATGTGTTCAGGACTAGGATGTCCAGTAAAAGATAACAAAATAAACCCCAATTGAGCCTTTGTTCTGAGTGTTTTCCACTATATGCAATGTTCCTCCCTTTACTGGCACAGACTCCATTTCTAACACACACCAATGACAGCCAAATATAAACACGCTCTACATCTCCCTTGCAAACGTCTAAATGGGGTTAGTCATGTAACTACATATATGCAAAAACATGACACCAGTACAGTCTAACTAGAATTAAGTACATATAATTAGCAGTGACCCACTTTCCATGTCCTTACCCACTGCTTGTATTGCAGTTCTGGTAGAAGCTTGAGTTCATGAGCCTTCCTGAATGCAATCATGGTTCTTTCTTGCCTCTGAAATCAGAAAAATCCCTCAGTTTGTTACATGTTATAAGATCCCGGCAGCGGTCTTTGGCCTCTGACAGGAACAAAAGCAGTTTTGCATTCTGAAAACTGAAAAGAGGGGACTGAGATGGTTTCACTTAGTATTAGATCATCTGGGCACCTGAGCCAAGTGCAGTCCATAGGAGGGCACCTCCCCAAGCAGTGGCCATTATAAAGGAAAAGCAGACTCAGACCTTCAGAATAACAGCTCACTCACAGGAGGAGCAGCAATGCACAAAATTCTTGGATGCTGTCCCAGAATCCAGAAGACAGTCACTCTCTAGCCAGCCACTGCTACCAGGTAAAGTAAGTCCTTACCTTCTCTCTGAGGAACTGACTACTTGTCTTCTTAGCAAACCTTTCCAAGCAAAAGCTGAAGTAGCATTTCCACATGGCTTCTGGAAAAGTCACAAAGATTATGGCGGTCAGATCATCAATTTATTTTAGTTTAACTATCATCTTTTTTAGTTTTTAACATCTTTTCCTCAAAGAGAAAACAATTCTGAGGAACTTTAAGCTGCCTGAAGGAAGTTGTTCTGATTACCAATAAATTAGTCATTAAAACATCCCAAATATTAAGGGAAAAGCAACCAAGAAATGATATAAATCTAAAAACTAAAGCATTATGCATTTCACTTATATTCCTTCTACCTTCATTCTCCAATGTTACCAATTTAAAAAGTAAATCTGTATCAAAAGACAATGAACAATCTTCTAAATGATCAGTCCCTAAGTATCATTTCCTCCAAATCAAAGAAACAGCACTATTATCAAGGCAGATAAAGGCTCCATCTTTCCCCATGACAGAAAGAACAAGTGGGAAAGCCAAGCACACTGTAAACAGTACTACAGAGGAAGTCCTGATATCAATTTGGTAACTGGGAATTTTGGTTTCACGTCCATGAATACTATGACTTCCACACTATACCATGGTTTGAAGTTCACCTGTAGGGAGCGTCTTCACTGCCTCTTCATATACAGCACAGCATCTCTCCTCCCTCCGGCCCACCTCCACTGATTTGGCTTGTTTTGTGGTAGGCTGCTCTTCTCCTGGCTGTGACTCAATCTCTAATTCTCGCCGTGCCACATAATCCCAAGTGAAGGGGTCATCTGTGTGCAGAGTCTGAAGGCTGAAAAATATAATTCAATGGCATCAGGTCTATGACATGAGGCTAACACAGAAATCAAACAGAGACAGGTCCCTATGTTCTAACAATGCACACAGACATCCCACTGGTAATTTCAGCACCATAAGAGCCATTTCCTCACAGGCTCTCCAGCAATCTTCACACTTGCTATTTAAACATTGCTATCAATGGATCAGAGTTGTCACACACTTACTAGATTTCAGAATGTTTCAGACATCACTCACAAATATTAACTTTCAATTTAGTTCTCAAAGTCAATTCTGTGTCTCAAAGGGGCGATTTTCTCAAGCCCTGGAAAACTTTTATAATACCCAGGCTCTTGATTTTCTCTGAGACAAAGAAAAAGCACAACCTAGTCTTCTACAAAAGCCCTGAAAAGCACAGTGATCCAAGTCCTATTTTGTCTCTTACAAAAGAGGTACCAGGCAAGAATACTCACAAGGTAGACTGCAAATTATTCTCAAACAACATGAATAAAATTACCTACAGAACCAACTATAAATATAAACATTCATGAATATAACTTTTAGGAATATGAAATTCTATATAAGCTGTAACGAATAAATATTCGTTATTGAATAAAAGCAAACTATTTCCCACGGAAAGCCAGTAAGTCAGTCAAACAACTTCTCCATGTACTAAAATACAGTGGTCCTAGAATAGCTTTCTTCTGAGAATTAAGTGTGGTATGTTATTCCCTATGTAAATATCCAACTTCAAATCTTTAACACCAGATCAGGAATAGATATCTTCACTTCTCCACTGTCTTACTTACTCATCATAAATTTCTCTTTGCAGATCTTTGGCAAAATCAAATAGCTGTGCAATTGAAAGCAGTGACACATGAAATTCTGCACCTAAAGTTTAAAAAACAGGAGAGGGGAAGAGAAAGACTCTAATTATCACTTTAAAAGTACAACTTTCAGGGCCTCCCCTGGTGGCTCAGGCAGTTGAGTGCAGCACTGTGAAGCTGTCCACAGCCTCTACAGCGCTGGTTCGATCCCGGCCGGCCAGCGAGGGTCCCACATGGCACAGCAGACCTCTCCTGTCTCACCCACTGCTCCCCTCAGCAGTGTATTTCATCAGTCTGCCTGTTCTGTTCCCCGCTCTGTCTCTGGTGAATCCTCTCACCCTCCCGCACATCTGGCCTGTACTCTGGTTCTTGTATGAATAAATAAATAAATCTTTAAAAAAAAAAAAAAAGTATGGGCCTCCCCTGGTGGCGCAGGCAGTTGAATGCTGGGCAGTGAAGCTGCCTGCAGCCTCTGCAGTGCTGGTTCGATCCCGGCAGCCGGCAAGGGTCCCACATGGCGCGACAGACCTCTCCTGCCATGCCCACTGCTCCCCTCAGCAGTGTATTTCGTCAGTCTGCCTGTTCTGGTCCCCGCTCTGGTGAATTCTCTCACCATCCCACGCTTCTGACTGTACCCAGTGCTTGTATAAATAAATAAATAAATCTTTAAAAAAAAAGTACAACATTCATGGGACAAGGTCGTCAAGTGGTTAAGGCGATGGACTGCTAAAAAGCATAACTTTCTTGATAAACTGGAGTTTTAGTTCTTTTGTTTTGTTTTGAAACTGAGAAATAGGATGAAACAAAACTTAAAAGAAATTATCTATTGTGCCACCACATAAACAAAGTCATTACAAATATTTTAGAGTATTTGTAAGTACTTTAAATTTTATTCTAAGCTTCTTAAAGACATAAAGGAATATACTAAATCATCTATCATTTGAATTTCCCAAATGAATTCATTATTCAATAAAAACTTACTGAAATTTTGAATTATATTCTAAGGGGAGAGAAGCCTTTTGTGAAAGGAACAAGACACTATTTTACACACATTCTAACAGAAATTTTCAAAAATAGCTAAAGTTCTTCCTCATATAAATAGAATACTTCACTTTCCCACCATAAACAAATTTTCCAAAGATACTTACCTTTAATTTTGCTTACAGAATTTTTGTAGACGATCCGTGCCAACTCACCCTTAAGGATTTCCTCGGGATAATCAAGATTCACCTAAGGAATGTTACATTAAACGCAAGTTAACAGCTAGTATCAAGTAAATAGAGAAAGTACCAGGCTGAGATGAAAACAGTCCTAGAATACCTATGCAATAGGCCCTCTGGAAAATCATGACTCTTTGGGCCTCACTTTTAAAATATGCAGCTTGAGCAAGATCAGTTACCTTCCAATAGTGTTTTCTCAGGCTTCTACAGTGTAGGAGGATCACATGGCTTAAGGCCTTACTCTCCACTTAGACCAGAGTAAGGCAGGTTTAACATATCCTGTTTACCCTTCTGTATAAGATTTAACTTGGATAAAAAAAATTTCAGAGCTGGCTGGAATCCACAATAATAGATGCTAACAATGTTCCCTTTTTAGTTCTAGCATTCTTTCCTTAAAATTTTCACTTAAAATTTTATATAAAAAAGGAAAAGGGGGGCCTCCCCGGTGGTGCAGCGGTTGAGCGCTGGGTTGCGAAGCTGCCCGCAGCCTCTGCAGCGCTGGTTCGATCCCCGGCTGCTCCCCAGCCCCCGGAGGAGGGTCCCACATGGTGCGCAGACCTCTCCTGCCACCCTCTGCTCCCCTCAGCAGTGTACCTCGGTCCTTCTGCCTGCTCTGCTCCCCGCTCTGGCTCTGGTGAATTCTCTCACCCTCCCGCGCTTCTGACTGTACCCAGTGCTTGTATAAATTAAAAAATAAATAAGTAAATAAATAAAACACAAATATTTAAAAAATAAAAAATAAAAAAAAATAAAAAAGGAAAAGGCAGCTAGGGCCCTCACATTTTACCTTTCCCAAGTTCCTTCAACCAATTAATGTCATTTAAAGGGACACAGCAATTGACTACTCAACAATAATAATTTCAAAGACCCCTTAAATTCACCCAAATACATATTTTTAAAACACAAACTGCATTTCTATTATTAAACACATTTAATTAAATTGACTCTAATTTCATCACAAAGTTCCAAAGCAGGACATGAAACTGGAAAGAAAAAAATTCTAAAAATTTTCATACATCTAAGCAGGCCAAAAAATATTATATATTGCTGGGTTTCCCTGATGGTGCAGTCTCAATGCTATCAAGCTACTGCCAGCCACTGAGCCATGAGTTCGATCCCTGGCCAGAGAGCTAACCCACATTGCGCAGCAGACCTCTCCTGTCTCACCTGCTTCTCCCCTCAGCAGTATATTTCAGTAGATCTGCCTGTTCTGCTCCCTACTCTGTCTCTGGTGAATTCTCTCATCCCCGTACTCCCACCTCTGGCCTACACCCCAGTTCTCATATATATAAATAAATAAATACATACTTTTTTTTTTTAAAAAAAAATGTATATTGTTAACAAGTGAGCATAGACCAGGATCTTACCACATCCATCTTGGCTTTTTCAAATTCCTGCTTTTCCTTTCTCAGTTTCTCAGCATGCATCAGCTCCATCCTAAAGTACTACAGGAGGGAAACAATGAATTGAAAACCTTTGAACATTTTTTTTTAATTAAAAATATGTAAGATGTCAGTTTTTTACTCATAAAGATCAGATCTGGGAAAGTTTGGAAGTCTGATCTCGGAAGCTAAGCAGGGTCGGGCCTGGTAAGTACTTGGATGGGAGAGTTATATTTTATATTTTTATTAAGTTAGCTGACATTGATATATTATTTTATGCTCTTATGACAAGCAATTTGGAGAATCAAAAACCTTAAAGATGTGTAGGCCATTGGTCATCCTCTTCACAGTTAAACAAGTGAAGCAACAAATATGTTATAATGTTCTTATCCAGCTGAGAAGGACATAAGGACGTCATGTAACAATGAACGTTTTTACAAGTGACTTTTTTAATAACCTCATTCACATACATCAAAGAGGGCAACAAAAAGCGAGTGAGGAAATGCCTTACAATACCACCCAGCAGGAAACACACAAAGCAACATCAGAAGAGATTTCTAAACAGAAGATTTTTTAAATACCCAGAATCTTGTAAAATAGTAACCAAGTATCTATATTCAATAAAAAAATCACGTCAAACCAAGAAGTAGGAAAATCTCAATGTGTATGAGGAAAGACCATCAAGAGACAACACTTAGTGCCAGAACGACATAAATGTTAATCACTTTACAAAAATTTTATATCACTGAACTTGAAGACTGAACAACAGGGATCACCAATCTGAACATCAGAAAGAAATTAGGAGTGAAAAAAATAAAGAAAATACTTAAAACAATTATAAATGTGGAAGGCGAAAGGATATACACAGAGATCAAGTTTCTACCTTCTCAAAACTACTGGGTTGTCGGAAAAGTCATGACCCATTTTTCCAACGTTTTCTATGTGTTTCAAAGAAAGTATACGTCATGACTTTTCTGACAACCCCTTAGTAAATTCTGAAACCAGTGGACTGTGATATATTACAGATATACAGTGTGCAAGTATATATTACTCCTACCGTATAAAATAAAAATCCTTTAGTTTTTTTTTTTTTACTGTAACTATTAAAACACATGACAAGGAATTCCCAATTCCCTTCCAACTTGTGCATGGTCACAATTATTTGCCTTTTGCACTCCTAATCTGTAAAGGGTTTAAAGGCATTAGAGCACTCATCTGATGAGTGTCATTACTGAGACTAAGTGCAAAAGCAGAATGAGAATTCAGATATGAGAGTATGTGTTCCGTTAAAGTTACTCAAGATTAGCAAAACGTACAATAATCACAATCTTAACCTTTGTTTTAAAAGATTTTCATTTAAAAATAAATGTATTGGGCCTCCTTGGTGGCACAAGGAGTTAAGATGCAACCTATGACGCTATCCACAGCCACTGCAGCGTAAGTTCGATCCCCAGCCAGGGAGCTACCTACATGGCGCAGCAGATCTCTCCTGACTCACCCCGCTGCTCCCCTCAGCAGTGTATTTCAGCCATTCCTGTTCTGTACCCCACTCTGTCTCTGGTGAATCCTCTCATCCCCCACACCTCTGGCTTGTACCCCAGTTCTTACATGCATAAATAAATAAATCTTTAAAAAAAAATAAAAATAAATGTATTAACATGTAATGGGTTTACTATTTAAAAATACTTATTTTTCAGATGTGTTAGTTTTAATTTTCACAGCCATAAAAAAAAGGAAAAAGCAAATCTTTTGGTCCTCAGTAATTTAAGATTGTAAAGGAATCCTAAATTTGAATATCTTTGATATAGATCAATATATACTAACATGGAAAAATATGTTATAGAATCACATTTTCAAAAAATCTATTTTAAACACCTATAATAAATGTAAAAGGATGGATGGATAAAAGGATGGATAAGATCATAAGAGTACTTTATTGGGCCTCCCTGGTGGCTCAGGTGTTAGGCTCAACACTATCACTGCAATGGCCTGAATTCGATCCCCCGCCAGGGAAGTAACCGACATGGTATAGCAGACCTCTCCTATCTTGCCTGCTGTTCCTCTCAGCAGTATATTTCAGTAGATTTGCCTATTGTGCTCCCCACTCTGTCTTTGGTGAATCCTCTCACCCGCCCCCTCCCCCCACACCTTTGGCATACACCCTAGTTCTTACATGCATAAATAAAGATAAATCTAAAAACAAAGCGTACTTTGCTATTCTTTTCATAAAACCGTTTCCTCTGTACTATTTATAATAAACAAATTCCATCTACTTCTGATAAGAATATGCAATAAATCTAACTTCATTATGAGAAATACAAATACAGACACTGATGGAAGCCTCAAAAACACAAATAACACCATATAAGAACCTTCCAATAGCAAAGAGAACTGATTCTAAATATAATTTCTCAATTTTTTTTTTTTTTTAATGTGGGACCCTCGCCGGTGGCCAGGGATCAAGCCGGCGCTGCAGAGGCTGTGGGCAGCCTCACAACCCAGCGCTCAACTGCTGCGCCACCAGGGGAGGCCCAACTTCTCAAAATATTTTTAACAATTAAGACTAAGTCTCTCGGGGACTAAACTGAGATATCACTACCTCATCTTATATGCACACCAACTCACTTCTTGATAAAGTTTTGGGCATTCAGGATGAAATCGCAGAGCCCGAAGAAATAGCTGTCTTGCACTTTCTGAAGATAAGCGATCTTCCATTTCCCATTTGGCGGCCATAATCCACAAAGCTACAAATGATAAACATCAAACTTCATTTCAATAAATTAAATTAAATTAAGTAAGGCAAGAAAAACACAATGCTTCAATTTTAACACTCAAGGTTTTTTGTTGTTGTTGTTTGTTAGTCTTACCAAAAGAGGAAGGAGTTTCTAATGGTTAATTATGAAGTATTGCTGCTTTATCTAAAATTAAAGTATTCTGAAGCTAATCTGTGTATACTTAGGTACATGTTACTATTTTCATCAGATCAACATCAGTCACATACAAATTTTAAGTGTCATGATGCTGAAAAAAATATATACCTTAGAATCGAAAGTATTGTTTTCTCCATTTTTAAAATAGCTCATATATTTTTTTCAATGACTTCAAAAGTAAATTTCTTATCATACCTGCTAGGAGCTAGACTTACAAAAAAATTTTTAGGGCCTTCCTGGTGGTGAAAGGGGTTAAGATGCAGCACTATGAAGTTATCCACAGCCACTGCAGCATGAGTTCAATCCCCACCCAGGGAGGTGACCCACATGGTACAGCAGACCTCTCCTGTCACGCCCACTGCTCCTCTCAGCAGTGCTTTCCATCTGTCTGCCTGTTCTGCTCCCCACTCTATCTCTGGTGAATCCTCTCACCCTCCCGCACCTCTGGCCTGTACCCCAGCTCTTGTATAAAAATAAATAAATCTAAAAATAAATAAATCTTAAAAAAAAATTAAAAAAAAAACTAGTGAAGCTAGTTTTCTGTACGTGTGAGTCATTTTGGGTTATAAAGAAAACAATCAAAGTAAAAGCTTGAAATGGAGTTCCTGCAAGGAATTCTCTAACTCATGAAGTAGTCCATTCTTCCCTTTCTTTATTTCTTGATAATTTAATTGTCCTCTGTACTTTCCTATCTTCAGCCTTCCATGGCTATTATCTTTGCAGATTTTAGCACTGTAACAACAACTCTTCTTTTCAGGATGACACACAAAGTCAATATACACTAATAGGGAAGCAAGTGTTCCTAAGACTGTTAACCTATTTGTTATTTGGAGTTTGGAGTCATAAATTATTAAACTAAAATAAATAAATAATTGAACTACTTGAAATGAATATATGATTAAAGCTGTAAGTAGCATATGATCTGCATGAAAAGCTTACCAAAATTAGTTAATAAAACCTATAAATTTTTAAACTTTAAAAATAGGATCATCAGGGGCCTCCCCAGTGGCACAGCGGGTTGAACGCAATGCTGTAAAGCTGTCCGCAGCCTCCACAGCACCGGTTCAATTCCCAGCCAGCCAGAGAAATTCCCACATGGCGAGGCAGACCTCTCCTGTCTCGCCTGCTGTTCCCCTCAGCAGTGTACTTCAGTCCTTCTGCCTGTTCTGCTCCTTGCTCTGTCTCTGGTGAATTCTCTCACCCTCCCTTGCCTCTGGCCTGTACCCCAGTGCTTGTATAAATTAATAAATCTTAAAAAATAAATAGACAATCTTTTACTATCGCTAGGACTTTTGAATAAACATTTTTAAATAGGTTCTGCCATAAAGCAAAGGCTAGAAAGGAGAGTGACAGAGCATCTGGTTTATTACTTAATAGTGATGAGGATGATAAAAACGAAATTAACTTGCTAAAAAAATTAAAAGAAAAACCTTTGTCCTATATGGAAAATTAACATTTAATTAACATTCTAGCTATTTCCCTAGAAACTTAATAAAGTGAGCTATATTACCAGCCAAGACTGCTTCTGATAAAAATGATCCATGGTTGGTAACTACATCTGAACTAAGGGGGCGATGACTTTGTACAGTCATGCTTTGGGCTTTCCTGTGTATGTGATTCCTGAAATTGAGCATGGTCCTTTCTAGGATCTCTGGTAGCTATGCCAATCCATGGGTCTTCTAAGTCAGAGTTGCTCCTCTACCCACTCACATGGTCTCATCCCCTCACATCTAAACTGTCGGCTAAGTTAGGCTTTCAACTGTTAAAAATATTCTAACATTCTGCTAAAGACACACACCTAATGCTGTCCCACTAATCCCAAATTAACCAGTGGCAAACATAGCATATTAGAGTTTTGTATCAGATAAAATGCCTACTTGAGCCTAATACTTGAGGATAGATACTTGGAGCACCTCCACTATAAAAATGTATCATTCGCACAGGTAAGTCTTTTTCTTACAAAACACAACTACCAACTACGTGCAAATCACTCTTGTAACATATGTATTAACATCTCCCTGCTTTAAGTTTTTGAAATCCATCAGATTTGACTGCTTCAAATACAATGTCCCTCATAGGAGAGAAGGGTTTCTGTTACCAACAACTAAAATGAAATATAGTCCTATTTGATCACAGACACAATATCTGGGACAATAACCTGTACACAGGAGATAAGGGTAAGTTAAAAGGCAGCCTCTCAGGAATAAAAACCATCAAGGCCACATGTGCCTACACTCATGTTCTCAAAACAATTCCTTTTAGGTTTATCAAGCAAAATAAATTCCAAAATGGCTTGAGTCTACATAAGAGATAGACCATAGAAAAGAGATAGACCAAGAATTTCACCATACCCGGCTTGTTCGAATGAATGGCCAACATGGCAGAGTATACCTTGCTAAGTTGAGTTTTGGTAGCCTGTAAAAGAGGAAAAAACAAATCTACTTCCTGCACTGACAAATCATTGCTCTTAATCTCTAAATGGGCTGTACTCCAAAAACTTACCAACTCTAAAATCCAGTAGAACAAGATCTGCTATTGCTAAAGACATATTAACAAATACAGACATACTCATAGCTTTCTCCCCTCTGAACACCATACATGAACTTCCTAAATATCTTTTTAAAATTCAACTTCGGGGCCTCCCCGGTGGCGCAGCGGTTGAGCGCTGGGTTGCGAAGCTGCCCGCGGCCTCTGCGGCGCCGGTTCGATCCCCGGCTGCTCCCCGGCCACTGGAGGAGGGTCCCACATGGCACGCAGACCTCTCCTGCCGCCCACTGCTCCCCTCAGCAGTGTACTTCGGTCCTTCTGCCTGCTCTGCTCCCTGCTCTGGCTCTGGTGAATTCTCTCACCCTCCCGCGCTTCTGACTATACCCAGTGCATGTATAAACAAAACAAACAAACAAATAAAATAAATAAATAAAAACATGCCTCTATAAAATTTAAAAATAAATAAATAAAATTCAACTTCGGGCCTCCCCGGTGGCGCAGCGGTTAAGCGCTGGGTTGCGAAGCTGACCGCAGCCTCTGCAGCACCGGTTCGATCCCCGGCTGCTCCCGGGCCACCGAAGGAGGGTCCCACATGGCACGCAGACCTCTCCTGCCACCCGCTGCTCCCCTCAGCAGTGTACTTCGGTCCTTCTGCCTGCTCTGCTCCCCGCTCTGGCTCTGGTGAATTCTCTCACCCTCCCACACTTCTGACTATACCAGTGCATGTATAAAAAACAAAAACTAACAAACAAATAAATAAATAAAAACATGCCTCTATTAAAAAAAATAAAATAAAATTCAACTTCACTGAACAAATACACATAAAAATAATTTTCTTTTCAGCTAACTTGGAAGCCATTTATATAGCCATTTGGCTGTGCAAATGTCATTACACAGAAGTTCAGCCTTCTTGATTTCTTTTCATATTTATCAACTCTACACCTTCCTAGAAAACTTGGGAGTTCAGTAATCAAGTATGAAGGTTAAAAAACAGACTAACCGGACTAACCAAAAAGATAGAGCGAGAAACACAGGGCCACCTAATACTCACCCATTTCTTACAGAAGACTATATAAGACAGCCAGAGTTGAATATCATCCTGCAATAAAAACAATGTAATAAGTTGCCTGAATTTGAATGTACATTTAATACACCTCTGCATTAATTAACTGTTTGTTAGCAAGGGGCAGATACTAGCAAATCCAATGTGTTACCACATCCTTAGCCTGTTAGGCTCTTCTCAGCAAGGCCTTAGATCTCTTAACCATAACTCAATCGTCCCCTCACTCCCACCTACCATGCTCCAAGACAAAATTTGTTACCTATCCATTGTATGCATTTCAGTTTTTAAAGGGTTTCAAACATTGTAACAACCCAAAATCTGTCATTCCCAGGAATCCAAAGTACTTTCCATGCAACATACTTCCTGCAGGCCAAGATTGAAGAAAACCAAGGAAATGAGATGATGCGCCTACTCTATCCATTCATCTTCCACATTCAAGTCTTCAGTGCACTTTACTTAGTGATATATTCATACAAAACCCAGATAATTTACTGATACTTAATTATGTACTTTTTTCAGCACCATCCTCACAGAATAACTAAAGGTAATGAAATCAATTTTCATTAAATTTGCAATCTATCATTTAAAGATTTTACCAGTTTCAAGTAATGACAACACTAGAACATCAAAATACCCAAGAAAAAAGAGCAATGCAATTTGAATATTCAAGTCATAATATGTAGAATACATCTTCCTATCAATAGCTTACAATTAAGGATGCTCTCATCACTTACTTTCCATTTTGCTGAAGCACGTCGGAAGACACCTTGTACCCGATGTACAATAGAATTCTCAATCTCATCCTTCTTAAATGAATAGCCAATGCGCTAAAAAGTGACATAAAAAAGAAAGACTCAGTTTGCTCACATTTATCCAAAATAGTATTCCTACTCAAACATTAAATAGTATTGACAAAGAAAGCACATAATTACAAATACCCATTATGACTACATAACCCATCAGTGCCAACTTCTTCTAAACCCAAGGTCTACTAGGCTATACTACATAATTATACATTTTTCTAACTCCCAGAAAATCATTTACTTACAGTTCTTCGTCTCTGAATCAGCTCCAAAAGATTAATTTCGTACTACAGAAAAAATATATACCACAAAAAATTATAAACTTTTAAGTACCAGAAATACCTTAAGTTAAAATCATAAATAAATATTTTGAATATGAAACACGATAATCTATTCCTAAAAAACATAATTTATAGTAAATGTCTAGGATTCATAAGAATTCACCTTACATCTGCAAAATTCCCATATATGATAAGTTTATATATATCTCAAATACAAAGAAAACATGTTACTGAAACCATAAGATTTATAAGATAACATCAAATTTTCTGGTCTACAACAGTGTTTTCCAACTTTTAGTAAATTATCATTCAAAAATCTTAAGGTAATGCACAAGCAAATAAACAATGGTAATTTCTGAAATAGGCAACAGGGGTGACAAATCTAATTGGCTTTCCCTCCCTGCCCACTTAGAACCCTAAGAGCTCTTAAAAATCACTACTGTATGAGCCCTCTTTTTAAGCCTTGGTTTGAAGACTATTAAAAAGCTCGGGATCTCACAAGGTTGCATGTTTCATTTAAAAACTTTATGGGGCCTCCCTGGTGACACAAGGGGTTAAGCACCACACTATAAGCAATTCACAGCCTCTGCAGCACGAGTTCGATCCCTGGCCAGCCAGGGCGCATCCCACATGGCACAGCAGACCTCTCCTGTCTCGCCCGGTGCCTCCCTCAGCAGTGTACTTCAGTCAGTCTGCCTGTTCTGTTACCCACTCTGTCTCTGGTGAATCTTCTTGCCACCCGCCCCGGCATCTCTGGCCTGTACCCCTGCTCTTGTATGCATAAATAAATAAATCTTAAAAAAAAAATAAATAAAAAATAAAAATTGTTTTATGAAGGGGCCTCCCTGGTGGCACAAGGCGTTAAGAAGCTATCCACAGCCACTGCAGCACGCGTTCAAAGTTATCCACAGCCACTGCAGCACTAGTTCGATCCCCGGCCAGGGACAACCCACATGGCGCAGCAGACCTCTCCTGTCTCACCTGCTGCTCCCCTCAGCAGTGTATTTCAGTCAATCTGCCTGTTCTTTTCCCCTCTGTCTCTAGTGAATCCTCTCACCCCTCGCACCTCTGGCCTGTATCCCTGTTCTCGTATACATAAATAAATAAATCTTAAAAAAAGAAAAAAAAAATGGCACTGCAGCACAAGCTTGACCCCCAACCAGGGAGCTAACCCATATAGCACAGCGGACCTCTCCTGTCTCACCCGCTGCTCTCCTCAGCACTGTCTTTCAGTAGATCTGCCTATTCTGCTCCCCACTGTCTCTGGTGAATCCTCTCAAACACTCTCCCTTCCCCCCCCCACCTCTGCCCTACACCCTGGTTCTTGTATGCATAAATAATCTTTTTTAAAAAACTGTTTTATGAACTAGTTCAAGCACACAGAACACCCATACAGCTACCATACAGCTACTTTAAAACCTGTGTTTTACATTTCAAATCTTTTTTAGAATTAAGTCCCTATGTAACATGCCAGATTTACTCCACTCCCTCCCATTCTGACACTGCTATTTACCATTTCCAAGCATGACTTTGAACTTTATTACAATTCTACCTTGAAAGCTTTTTAAACTTTACATGAATGGTATCATACTGTACCCATTAATCCATATTTTTATTCAACATGATGTCTTTAGATACACCCTTGCTGACATGGAATTCAAACTCATTTAAACTGCTGTATAATATTTGACTGTATGGCACGGGCCATGCTACTCATGTTGTCTGACAAGGTCCGGGCATGGGGGAAATTTCTGAAAAGTCAGAAAACTCCATAGCTGGCTCCTGCTACTTCCTTTCATTTGTTTGTGGCAGTTATTGTAACCATGGAAATTTTCTATAAGCTTCAGAGTAACACAATGAGTACTGGCATCAATGCCAGTTACGGTATGCACACTTCAGTAGTTTGAGAAATGTACCTTCCAACATGATTGATAATGAAAGGGTTTCCAATAATTCTCCACGTCCTCCAATTTGTAATTCAGTTACCATGAGTAACATTGAGTTCTTTAAGAAACCACGCTTGATAGAACTGATGGAACTGAGCCCGGTAAAAGTCCCCACTAGAGAAGGCCCTGAGGTGCCCCAGGAGGTAAAATGGTATGAGAGAAACAAACCACATATTGTTCCCATGGTACTGGGACCCTTTGGTTCTATATAGAAAATAAGAAGCCACCCTGGCTCTTACAGTGCCTGATTAGCCTTGTTTTAGTTACCTAGCTTGACTGCATAAATCAAGTTGTGTGTAGCACCTGTTTCTATTTTCTGAATAACATACATCACCTAGGGAAATAATGTAACCAAGTTAATGTAACCAAGTGACCAAGTTAATCATAGACTGGGAAAATTAAAAAAAGGATTGTGCACTGTTAATGATCATTAATAATTTCTGAAACAATGTAAAAATAAAATCAATCATGATTGCATGATGTAATGATCAAGTAAAAAATTTCTGCTGTATAAATAAAGCCCTCCTGGGGCTATCAGCAGGAGATGTCTGCACCCTGATCAAGTGTCAGTGTCTCCTCACTACCTCATCTACCTCATTTCCCCCCTCCACTTCGCCAACACTGTCTTGTCCTTGCGGGGATCCTGACATGACACTTTACTGGAGCTGGCCTCCAGCAATTGTACAATGTTAAATGTGCTGTTTACTTATCTACTACTGCTTCTGATTACTGTATTACAAAAAGCTGTAATACTCTTACACATATCTTCTCACAGATATATGCAGCAACTTTTCCAGGGCATAGACCCACTTCTACCACTAGTATGTAAGTTCCTCAAGGCAAATTTTTGTCTGCTTAAATATTGCTGTACCTTATCAGATCAAATCATTACTATGCACATATACCAATACTCACAATTTGCTATATAACTGAGTAAATTAAATTGCTGGGCCATATGGTACATGCATTTTCAAGTGTATGAGACATTACCAAAGTGCTCTCCAAAGTGGTCATACCAATTATACCGATAATATTAAATTATACCGATAAAATTAAATACAAAATGTTTGCTAATAATAGATATGTCATAGTGCACCCTGGTTTTAATCCACATTTACTTGATTACCAATGAGGCTAATGTCGTGAATGTTTCTCCTTTGTGAATTGCATGTTTATATTTTTCTAGTTCTTCGTCACTTTCTTCTTAATCTGAAGTTCTTTATTCTAGACTGTGTTACAAACATTTTCTGCCGTTTAGTGGCTGTCTCTTCATATTATGATGTCTCTTACTGCACACAAAATTTTTTACTTTTAGTACAGTTAAATCAATCTTCTCTTCAGATTTGTGCCTTCAGTCTCATTTATTTTTTAAAAAATTTCCCTACGTTAAATCACTTTTTCATAATTTTTGTAAAAGATTTAAAAGTTTTCCCCCTAAAAGGAAATTCAGCTTTTCATTCAGCAGGAATTTACTTTTATGTATTATGTGAGGAAGGGACCTAATTTTGCTTTTTACACAGTGGATAACAGATCCCCAATGATTTAAAATGCCACTTGTGAGAATGTAAACTGGTGTAGTCATTATGGAGAGCAACATGAAGACTCCTTAAAAATCAAAACTAGAGGGCCTCCCCTGGTGGCGCAGTGGTTGAGCACTGGGCTGCAAAGCTGCCCGCAGTTCGATCCCCACCAGTTCGATCCCCGGTCGCCAGCAAGGGTCCCACATGGTGCGACAGACCTCTCCTGCCGCGCCTGCTGCTCCCCTCAGCAGTGTATTTCGTCGTCTGCCTGTTCTGCTCCCCACTCTGGCTCTGGTGAATTCTCTCACCCTCCCGCACTTCTGACTGTGCCCAGTGCTTGTATAAATAAATAAAATCTTTAAAAATAAAAAAAATTAAAACTAGAGGGCCTCCCCTGGTGGCGCAGGTGGTTGAGCGCAGTGCTGTGAAGCTGTCCACAGCCTCTGCAGTACCATTTCAATCCCAGCCGACCAGCAAGCGTCCCACATGGCGCAGCAGACCTCTCCTGTCTCGCCCGCTGCTCCCCTCAGCAGTGTATTTCATCAGTCTGCCTGTTCTGTTCCCCACTCTGTCTCTGGTGAATCCGCTCACCCTCCTGCGCATCTGGCCTATACCCTGGTTCTTGTATAAATAAATAAATCTTTAAAAAAATATTAAAACTAGAAATTCCATACAAACAAGTTATTCCACATCTGGGTATTTACACCCCAAAATACAAAAACACTAACTCAAAAACATACACCCATATTTATTGCAGCATTACTTATAGTAGCCAGAGGTGAAACAACCTAAGTGCCAACAGACAGATTATTGGATAAAGAAGATGTGGTGTACATACACTAGAGCACTACTCAACTATTACAAAAAGATGAAACCCTTTCATTTACAATAACATGGATTGACCTAGAAAACTAACTTTACTAAGTTGCTATGCTTAGGGAAATAAGTAAGAAGGAAAAAAAAACACTGCATGTTTTCACTCAAGTGGTATATAGAGAAACAAACATATGGACAGACTAAATAAAAGAAAAATAAACTTTTAGACTACAGAACCAATTAGTGGTTACCAAAAGGGAAGGGAGAAGGGAGCTAAACTGGATAAAAAGGGTGAATCGTTTGGTGAAGAATAGAACTGGACTTCCTTTTTTTTTTTTTTTTTCCCAAAGATTTATTTATTTATTTATGCAAGCACTGGGTACAGTCAGAAGCACAGGAGGGTGAGAGAATTCACCAGAGCCAGAGCGGGGAAAAGAACAGGCAGACCGATGAAATACACTGCTGAGGGGAGCAGCGGGCGTGGCAGATGTCTGTCCTGCCATGTGGGACCCTCGCCAGCTGCCGGCGATCGAATTGGCGCTACAGAGGCTGCGGGCAGCCTCGCAGCCCAGCACTCAACCGCTGCGCCACCAGGGGAGGCCCTAGAACTGAACTTTACTGGTGAATTTAATGTAGTACATACACATGTTTGATTTTTAATGATGCACCTCTGAAACTTATGTTATAATGCAACATTACTTCAATAAAAAAGGTAATAATAAAAAACAAAATGCCACTTGTGTCTTGTATTATGTGGTTGTATGCAGTAGGGGGGAGGGGGGATTTATGTAAGTCATTAAGTGTGTATGTTTGTTTTTAATCTATTTACTTAATTCATTAATGCTCTCTAAAAGTAAACAAGTCAACCTAATAATTATCTAGCTCTTCAAATATTTAAAGAGTGAAATTACTTCCTACTTCTTAAGAATTCTTAAGGTTAAACATCTCCATTTCCTTCAACAGTTCCTCCTAGAACAATGTTTCCACCTGGCTGCCTTCCAAGCAACCTCTCAAATGCCTTCTTAAAAGGTAGTCCTGAACTTTACACAAAATTCCAAACATAGCTTGATAAGACAAAACACTTTTCCCCCAAACCATTATCTTATGAGAGCCCACTGTCTGCTATGTCTTCTGCTCAGTTAACTTACCCGACATTCCTTTTTTTATTAACGTAGTCAATTGGATCCAATTTATTTACATATGTTTTTTGCTCATTTCAAATTGGCAGTCTACCCCGAAAACCTCTTCTAAAAAGAAGATCCTTAGGGCCTCCCCAGTGGCACAGCGGTTGAGTGCTAGGCTGCGAAGCTGCCCGCAGCCTCTGCAGCACCGGTTCGATCCCCGGCTGCCGGCGAGGGCCCCCCACGGCACGACAGACCTCTCCTGCCGCCCCGCTGCTCCCCTCAGCAGTGTATTTCGTCGGTCTGCCTGTTCTGCTCCCTGCTCTGGCTCTGGTGAATTCTCTCACCCTCCCGCGCTTCTGACTGTACCCAGTGCCTGTATAAATAAATAAATAAATCTTAAAAAAAAAATAAAAAGAAGATCCTTAGCCAGGTCTTGTATGTCATTTGTTCTGTTATTTTCTTTTTCAACTAAGCTCAGTACTTTTCTTCTTATATTATTTCCTCTTATTACTGAGTTCTTTCTCAATTCTTACTTTCTCTTTCAACGTATTATTATTTGCACCCATCTTAAAACTGATCTTCCATGTATATTGTATCTTCATTTGACTCTTTCATTAACTTACAGGACTGAAGAATCTTGCAGCACATCTCTTTCTAAGTAGACAGACTGAGAGATACCTAATTACTAACTTTGCAATAAACTACTATCATCAAACTCACTCTCCTTTATCCACCCTCTACTGCCCCCAACCACGAATCCCTTGCTAAAATCCTGGCAGTCTCTGATCTACTAATCATAGATGGGGAAATAAGGAATTCAGCTTGCCAACAACTAAAGCCTTTAGAATAACGATGCTACTCCCAAATCACCTCTATTTCTACTCAAAATTTACCTAAGTATCAGTTGTAAAATAGTGTAGAGGGCCTCCCTGGTGGTGCAGGGGTTAAAGACAGCTCTATCCAGCTATCGCCAGCCACTGCAGCACCACTTCGATCAGTGGCCAGGGAGATGACCCACATGGCGCAGCAGACCTCTCCTGCCTCGCCAGCTATTCCCCTCAGCAATTTATTTCAATAGATCTGCCTGTTCTGTGCCCCACTCTGTCTCTGGTGAATTCTCTCACCCCACCCCCACACCTCTGGCTTATACACCAGTTCTTGTATGCATAAATTAAAAAAATCCAAAAATAAATAAATATTGTAGAAAACTGACATTAGCTACCATTTCTTTTTTAAAAAAAGATTTATTTTTATATATTTATGCATAGAAGAACTGGGATATAGGCCAGAGGTGTCAGGGGTGAGAGGATTCACCAGAGACAAAAGTGAGGAGCAGAACAGGCAAATCTACTGAAATACACTGAAGGGAGCAGCCGGTGAGACAGGAGAGGTCTGCTGCACCATATGGGATCAACTCATGCTGCACAGGCTGGCAATAGCTTGATAATGCTGACTTTAACCCCTGTACCACCAAGGAGGCCCCTAAACTACCATTCTATAACTCATTTAAAATTTGTGAGATTAAATAGTAAAATTATTCACTTACTTGAACATAATTGATAAAGTCCTCCTTAAAAAGAGCTCTTCGCTGTATTTTGTATTCTAGATCCGAAGCCTTCTTAATGATAGCCCTGGAAAATAAGTCATTTAAAATATAACTTTTAAAGAGCAAAAGTTTAAAAAAGGAAAAATTAAATAACTTTGAGATTTTTTTGTTTAATACAATCAAATAACAAACCTGTTTGTAATATATGCAAAAAGCTTATTTACCAAAATACATAATAAATACCCCATAATCCTTTATCAGTTGCCATGACCACTGACATTCCCACCAGCAAAGCAAATAATGTTAGTACTTTAAATTAGTTACGTGTGGTATTAGTAATGATTTAACTTTCTTCAAACTCAGGACATTTAGGTTTTAATAATAATCACATCTTTCTTAAATTCCTCTTATTTCTGAGTTTTCAACATGCAGATTTGTTTTAAAAAGGAAGAAATCTAGATTATCTCTAGAAAGTTGACTATTATTGCAAGACGTAACGGGAGAAGATTCACCTTTTTAGGCAAAGAACATACATTAGGCGAACATATAAGGAGAGTTTAACGCAAGATATGCAAGACCAATCTAAAAAAAACAACCCTACTTAATGGTAGCAACATTTATTGAGCGCTCATCAAGAACCCATGCACTGTTTCTTTCCACTAACAAATGTTTAACCCACCCCTCCCCCCACGCCCAGTCATCGCATTATTGAATTCAGTCATTGCAAATTCAAGAAATGATCGCGGGGGGGGGGGTCCTTAAGGGGGGAGAAGGAGAGATGATCACAGTAAACTTAACAAACTACTGAATGCCAACTATGTACCAGGCGTTGCTGTCTAGGATCTAGGCAACCGAATTAAACGGCCCCCATCTTTTAAGTCTCGTTATAAAGATTTACTCACTCCTCCCAATCACCTTACAGTGGACTTCACTGTAATCAGGGTTTCCCACGAAGCCCAGGGTATGTTAACTTAAGGAGAACCACCCGGTTTTATCCCCTTTATAGCCCCAAGACCTAACTCCACGAAAAGCCGTCAGTATGTTTGATGGGTAAACGGACGGCACACCTCGCAATGCAAAAGAAATAAATTCTGGGCTTCATCAAAATCCGAAAATGGGCTTCCACCAAGTCGGGAAAGTGAGTAATTCAACTGCCCCCGCCGTCCTGCCTCCCCGCGCCCCCGACACACGCGCCCCAACCGCCCCTCAGACCGCCCCGGCGCTTCCCCGCCCGCTCCCTCACTTAATCTCCTTATGGCTGAACAGTCCAATGCGTTCCAGCTGTTCCAATTCGGGGAGACGATCTTCAATGCGTTCCTGAATTATCTCTGCCATGAGGACCGAATTCTGCCATCCAAGGCAGGTACCGCCAACGAGCGCAGGAAGCGCCCGGCCCGACCTCTCCGCGTGCTGACGCAACGTGCGCCTCCGGTCCCGCCCTTTCCGCTTCCGCTGCCTCACGGCGGGGGAAGTTCCTCGGGCTCTGGCGTCGCTATCGCCACCCCGTGGCTGACTGCGGAGTTGCAGCGAGGACCTCTCTCGGCCGTGCGCTCACGTAGACGGGGTAGATGGGCGGGGCGGGATGGGCGGAGCTGAGTGCGCGCGCGGCCGGACGTGGGCGGGGCTGGGAGGAGCTTCTCCGCGCCTGTGGGATTTACCTGACAGAGGCGTGAAGTGCCTTTCTGCAGGTTATGGTTCCTCTTTCATTCTGTTCTTGTCCCACGACCTCGTTTTCCGACACCGAGACCCATAAAATAAAAGGAAAGGAAAGGGGAAGGATAGGGCCTCCCCGGTGGCGCAGCGGGTTGAGCGCCGCACTGTGAAGCTGTCTACAGCCTTTGCAGTGCCGGTTCGATTCCCAGCCCCGGCCAGGGAGAAACCTACGTGGCGCGGCAGACCTCTCCTGTCTTGCCCGCTGCTCCCCTCAGCAGTGTAATTCAGTAGCTCTGCCTGTTCTTTTCTCCTCTCAGGTGAATCCTATCACCGTCCCGTGCCTCCTACTGTACCCCAGTTCTGTACAAATAAATAAATCTTAAAAAATAATAACAATAAAAAAAGGTGGGGGAGAAGGATAGAAGACAACGTATTTCCAAAAGTCAGTAATGGAAATGGTAGGAGGACGGTAAAATTGATCAGGCTAGCCAAAGCTCTCTTTGCTTTCGGCTAATTTAACCAGTGTGATAAAACATGTTTCACATGCTAATTGATTTTAAAATGGGAAGAAATTTTTATTACTTGAATAATTATTCTGGCTTTGTAGACTATTTCTCAAAATACATAACCTTGGGTGGGTATCAAAAACTTTTTTTTGTTGCCAAATAAATCATTAAGATGTAGACCCTCCTAAGCCACTGCCCAAGCAACTTAGCATTTCTAAAAGAACCTTCAGGCAAATCAGCTTGGAAGGGACATTTCTCATGCTGTTACTAACCCTAAAAGAATAGCCACATGGCGCAGGTTCTTTTTAAATTTTGGAAGATGATAAAAAAACGAAAGCAGGAATTCTTGCTAGACCTGTTTATTTCAACATTCGTTTTAGCACCTTGATCCTCTGTGTGATTTATGAAAGGCTTAGCAATGAACCATGTTCCACCACTTGCCTTGCCTTTCTTTTTTTCCCTTTCACATTTTACAACGCTGGTCTCAGAATGAGGTAAAGTTTGGCTTAAGCTTCATCAATGTCTATATTCCCTTCAGCTGTAAGTCGTCAGGGGCGTGGAAGGAAATTATGGACATAAAATAAAGATGAAATTTTTTTGTAATAGGAAAATTTCTAGGGCCTGCCTTTACAGCATGGAGATGATCACACTGTCAGGGAATTTTGGTGCCTTTGTTTTTTGTTTTTTTGTTTTTATTCACTGGATCCCTGGGAACTTAAAACAATTCCCAGCTTTACTAAACACTTAATAAATTAATGCATGACAGAATAAGAAAGACATTTGTTAAATTTTTTTTAGATTTATTTATTTATGTATACAAGAACTGGGGTACGGGCCAGAGGTGCAGGGGGTGAGAGGATGCACCAGAGGCAGACACTTGCTAAAATTCTTCATGAACAAGGAAGTCAGCAATTTCTGATGGATTGTAATCTTTCATTTCAAGGCAAACTTGATGGATAATTATGATTTTTAAATCAACCCAACTATACATACTCCTCTTATTTTTCAATTTAGCTATCTTTATTTCTCGCTAAGTATTAAAGAGAAATCTTTTTTCTCTTTAGTCACATCTGCATCTCATAAAAATAGTTATTTATCTAGGGTTTATTCTGTGCACCTTTGTAAGATTTTTATATATTAACTCCCCTAATCATGTCACAAGTATTTTTAAATATCAGTCCAAGAGGGAGCGCTTTTTCTTTAAAGAGTTATTTTATTTATTTATTTATTCATACAAGAACTGGGGTGTACGTCAGAGGTTTTGGGGGTGAGAAGATTCACCAGAGACAGTGGGGAGCAGAACAGGCAGATGCACTGAAACACACTGCTGAGGGGAGCAGTGGGTAAGACAGGAGAAGTGAGCCAGGGATCAAATTCAAGCCATAGTGGCTGGTGATAGCTTGATAGCACTGAAACTTTAACCTGTGCGCCTCCAGGGAGGCCCCCCAAGAAGGAGCTCTTAGGAGCTAAAAAGCACCCACTAGAAAAAATCCATTGCAGCAGACAAAATTGTGTTTGCATTATGCCCTCTGGGTCTCAGAACTATTAGTTGAGTGCAGCTAAGAGGGAAGAAAAAGTGCTCATGTCTGGAGCTCTGGGACACCCCTAGACACTTTGACAATTCTTTTAGTCTTATATTTGAATTTTAAAATTCACCATAAAGAGAAAGAGGGAGAGGGAGAGAGAGAGGCGGGTGGGGGGGGGGAGAGAGAGAGATATTGTAGGCAAACTATAGATCTGAGTCATACAGCAGGTGAGGAGGAGAGAAATGAGTCAAAATGGGAGAGGGAAGAGCACAAGGGGCTATAGTGATGGTTCACTGGTGATGTGGTGGTGGTGGGAGATTTATGGGGCTACACATGAGTGGAGAAATCAAATATTATACAAAATGAACAGTAATGTAAGAAAACAAATAAATAGGGCCTCCCTGGTGGCACAAGGGGTTAAGCACAGCACTATGATGCTATCTGCAGCCTCTGCAGCATGAGTTCTATCCCCAGCCTGCCGGGGAACTACCTACATGGCACAGCAGACCTCTCCTGTCTCGCCCGCTGCTCCCCTCAGCAATGTATTTCAGTCAGTCTACCTGTTCTGTTCCCCACCTTGTTTCTGGTGAATCTCACTCCCCACACCTCTGGCCTGTACCCCAGTATGCACAAATAAATAAATATTTTTAAAAGAAAATAAATTAATTAAATAAATAAAAGCAGCAAGAGCAATTCCAAAGCAAGTGTCAAAAAAACCAACATTAAAATAAAAGAGATTATTGAGTGATGGTTGCATTGACCTACTCGGATTGAAAAAAATTAAAAATAAAAATAAAATGGGCATACAAGGGTCTCCTGACTAAAAAAGAAGGAAAATGGAAGTATCACTTGCCCAGACTTCAAGCTATACTACAAAACCATAATAATTAAAACAGTATGGTGCTGAACACAGACCAATGGAATCAAATAGAAAACCCAGAAATAAAGCCACACATATATGGACAACTAAACTTTGATGAATGAGCAAAGAATATACAATGGAAAAAGGACAGTTTGTTCAACAAATGGTGCTAGGAAAACTGGACCACCACATGCAAAAAAATGATACTAGACTACTACCTCACACCACACACAAAAAACAACTCAAAATGGATAAAAGACTTTAACATAAGACCTGAAACCATAAAATATATAGAAGAAAATATAAGCAAAACACTCCATGACATACATCTCAGTAACATCTTTAAAAACTCATCCTTCAAAGCAAAGAAAGTGAAGGAAAAGATAAACAGCTGGGATTACTTAAAAACGTCTATACAGCAAAAGAGATATGAACCAAAACAAAGAGACACCCTACTGATTGGGAGAAAATTTTTGCACCTTATACAAATGATGTGGGTCTGATCACAAAGATCTACAAAAATCTCATACAATTCAGCAAAAGCAAAGTAAACAATCCAGTCAAAAAATGAGCAGAAGAGCTAAACAGACACTTTTCCAAAGAGGAAATGCAAATGGCCAACAAGTATATGAGAAAATGTTCAACATCACTTATAACCAGGGAAATGCAAATCAAAACCACAATGAGACACCACCTTACACCAGTGAGAATGGCTCATATTAAAAAATAAACAGGGAATGGGGCCTCCCTGGTGGTGCAAGGGGTTAAAATGCAGCACTATGAAGCTATCCACAGCCACTGCAGCAAGAGTTCAATCCCCAGCAAGGGAGGTGACCCACATGGCGCAGCAGACCTCTCCTGACTTGCCCACTGCTCCCCTCAGCATGTATTTCAGTCGGTCCATCTGTTCTGCTCCCAGCTCTGTCTCTGGTGGGTCTTCTCACCCCCCACTCCCCTGTGTACCCCCAGTTCTTGTATGTATAAATAAATAACTCTTTTTAAAATAAATAAATAAATAACCGGGAACAACAAATGTTGGCAAGGATGTGCAGGAAAAGGAACTCTCCTACTCTACTAGTGGGAATGCAAACTCATCCAACCACTGTGGAAAACTATGTGGAGGTGCCTCAAGCTACTAAAGATGGAGCTACCATATGACCCAGCAATTCCCCTCCTAGGAATCTACCCAAAGGACATAAAAACATTAATTCAAGGGCCTCTCTGGTGGCGCAGGTGGTTGAGCACAGTGCTCTAAAGCTGTCTGCAAACTCTGCAGTGCAGGTTCTATCCTGGCCGGCCAGCAAGATACCCACATGGCGCAGCAGACCTCTCCTGTCTCGCCCACTGCTCCCCTCAGCAGTGTATTTCAGTCTGCCTGTTCTGTTCCCCACTCTATCTCTGGTGAATCCTGTCACCCCCTGCATCTCTGGCCTTTACCCCAGCTCTTGTATGCATAAATAAATAAATATTTAAAAAGAAAAGAAAAGGCTAATGAAACTAATGACCATTCTTTTTGAGGATATTATTCTCTTCAGGAGTTTCAACTATTATTTTTATGTGTGGGACAAGATCAGAAATACTGAAACATGGTTGACTAAAGCCTTCTCCCTCTCCAAAACTTCATGCTAATTTTGCATTCTAGCCCACGGTATATTCATATTCATTTTACTATAAAATAATGTGATTTTTTTTCCAGATTGCCAACTAAGATCGAGCCCAGAAATATGTACCCTGCTCATCCCATCACTTGGAAAAACACTTGGCCCATTTCAGGGCTCATGACTCAGTTTGGAACATAGCGAAGAGAAGTCTCAGTTAGTGTCGTGAGACAATCTCTTAAGGGATTCGGCAAGATAAATGTAGCCAGATATTTGCAAATCAAGTG